GATGGGCGTGGATGTCAGCTCAAGGCCAGTCTTCCTCATAAAAAAAAAAAAAAAAGAACTTAAAAAAAAAGGAGACACAAAAGAGAAGGGAGGGGCGGCTCCCCCAAATCAGGTTTGACAGGAAGCGAGAACAGGGTTGCCCCAGAGGGCACCCGACCTCAATCAGGAAGCGCCACTCTCATTAGAAACAGAATATGCTCTGATTCAAACTGGACAGATGTCCACAAAGCGCGTGTTCCTAAGGGGGTGAGAGGGCCGCGGTGAGCGCCCCGGGCAGGCCACCCACAAGCCTGGGACAGGGGCCGCATGCTCAGTCCTGATCCCCGGGCTCTGCTTTCTGAGAGTGACAACCTCGCAGTGAGACGCATGAGCCCTCGCTGATGACGTTTCGAGTCCTGGGCCACATCCCAGCAGCCTTGGAACAAGGAGGGACCTGGGAGACCCGGCCAAAGTGAGTTGAGATGCAGATAGGAAGTGAAAAAGTGTAGCTGGCGAATGTAGACGGCTCTCCCCAGCTCAAATTTGGCAAATGAGGGGAAAGAGCACATACATCTCCAATGGTAGCCCAGAAAGGAGGCTGTGTTTAAGGTGGAAACCATGTTGAAATGCTCACGGGGAGAGACGGTGAAGAGGGACAGACAGAAAGGCCCCTGGGGGTGGGGGTGGGGGTGGGGGTGGGCGGAGGTCTGAGACCTGAGGCTGGTGGGACCAGGATCGAGTCAGGGTTGCCAGTTGGTTCAAGGTCGAGGAGGGAGTTCCTGTCTGTGGCTTGTAGATGGCTTTTAAAAAAATTTTTTTTTTTTTTTTTTTTTTGTGAGGGAGATCAGCCCTGAGCTAACATCCGTGCTAATCCTCCTCTTTTTGCTGAGGAAGACCGGCTCTGAGCTAACATCTATTGCCAATCCTCCTCCTTTTTTCTTCCTCAAGCCCCAGTAGATAGTTGTATGTCATAGTTGCATATCCTTCTAGTTGCTGTATGTGGGACACGGCCTCAGCATGGCCAGGGAAGCGGTGCGTCGGTGCGCGACCGGGATCCGAACCCGGGCCACCAGCAGCGGAGTGCGCGCACTTAACCGCTAAGCCACCAGGCTGGCCCCTAAAAATTCTTTGTTAAAAAATGTTATTGAGGTGAAATTCACATAACAAAATTAATCATTTTACAATGAACAATTCAATGGCATCTAGTACATTCACAATGTTGTGTGACCACTACTTCTAGTGGAACCCCCGATGGAGGGTTCCAGAACATTTTTGTCACTCCTAAAGGAAGCCTCACACCCATTAGCAGTCACGCCCCATTCCCCCTCCCCCAGCCCCTGGCAACCCCAATCTACTTCCTGTCTCTATGGATTTGCCAGTTCTGGGCATTTCATAAACATGGAATCATATCATACGTGACCTTTTGTGACTGGCTTCTTTCAATTAGCATCATGTATCCGAGGTTCATCTGTGTTGTAGAATGTATTACTTTTCTAGGGCTGCTGTAACAAAATACCAAAACTATGGTGGCTTAAAACAGCAGAAATTTATTCTCACAGTTCTGGAGGCCAGAAGTCCAAAATCGAGGTGTTGGCGAGAACTTGCTCTCTCAGAAGCCTCTAGAAGAGTCTGTTCCATGTCTTTCTCTCAGCTTCTGGTGTTGCTGGCAGTCCCCGTGCCCTTGGCTGGTAGAGGCTGTTCACAGGGCCATCGTCTCCATCTCTTCACATCGTCTTCCCTCTGTGCATGTCTGTCTCTGTGTCCAAATTTCTCCTTTTGTAAGGACACCAGTCATATTCAATTAGGGCCCATCCTCATGACCTCATTGTAACTTGGTTACCTCTGTAAAGACTCTGTTTCTAAATAAGGTTACATCCTGAGGTACTGGGGGTTAGGGCTTCAAGATATCTTTTTTGAGGGGACACAATTCAACCCTCAACATAGCATGTATCATCACTTCATTCCTTTTTAAGGCTGAATAATATTCCATTGTTGTGGACATTTTGTTTATCCCTCATCTGCCGATGGACCTTTTTTAAAAAACTGAAATATAGAAAAATTATTTGAGACTAGCGTCAAATGCAAATCAAAGGGGATTTTTAAAAACAGAATTCACAGTTTTCCTGCCTGTAGTTTTAGTGTTCATTAAAAACACAGAGATTCAAGCATGTATGCATCTTCTAGACTGACTTGTAGAAACCTCAGCCTCTCAGAGAAACAGGGAAAATCAGTCCCCAGCAAGACAAGGTCACAGAGAGAAGCCGTCTACTCCGGGGTTGGGACCCGCAGATCCCTCTCCTTCTTTAGGTTGCTGGTGCTTTGTGGAATATTTACTGAGTGCGTCTGCCACGTGCAAGGTGCATTTACAGTTAGGTTTTGTTAATCTTCAGAACTACCTGAGACACACACCATCGTCCACGGTTACAGGGCTGGGCAGTGACAGAGTGGGGTCTGAACCCAGGTCTGTGTGACTCCTACCTCTGTGCTCCTTTTGTCACGCTGTGCTGCTTCCTGCTCTTGAGTTTCCTAAACGTGGCTGAGCCACCCATGCAATGTCACCATCACTGTGATCCCAGTCCACTGCCGGAGGCCTGGTCCCCCCGCAGGTACTGAGCCAGCATTTACTGGGAGTTCACGGCGGGTCTGGGCTGCGTTGAGCCCTCGACATGCAGGTACTCGCTTGATTGTTCAAAAGCACGACAGGTGGACATCATCATCCCCATTCTGCAGATGAGGGAACTGTGATCACCCAGGTGACCCGCTGTGTAGTGGAGCTGGACTGTCTCCTGCGCAACACTGACCGTGAGGGTAAACCGAGGCTTGTGGCTGAGGGCGTGTATCCAGTCGTCTACCCAATGGAGCTGAGTACACGGACATTACAATTGGTGTCCTGAGCTCTGAATGACAGATGCTTGTGGGGCAGCCCTTGTGTACCCGGCACTGGTCCCCACCTTCCTGAGTGGCTGCATTGTGAGCAGATAAAGGCGTTTAAGTGATAATCACTTGCTGGCAATTGTGCAGGTGCTGTCTAGGAGAAGTCTAGATGCTGAGAGGGTACAGGGAGTTGACTAACCTGGTCTGGGAAGACATCAACACAGAATAATCTGTCTGTCTCTGGAGCGGCGTTTCTCACCCTCCACATCGCTGACAATTGTGCCAGATGATTCCTTGTTGTGGGGGCTGTCCCGTGCATTGTAGGATGCTCGGCAGCACGTCTGGCCTCTGTCCACTAGATGCCAGCAGCACCCCTGCCCCCCAGGTTGACAACTAAACAAGTCTCCAGACATTGCCAACATCCCCTGGGGGCAAAACTGCCCCTGGGGGAGAACCCCTGATTTAAAGTGTGGTGTGGCAGCCGTGAAAATGTGCCAATGGGGCTCCTGCAGGGATGTTAGAATGGCCCGCACCTGGGGGACACAGGACTCCTCCAGTGGGCAGCATGGTGTCTCATGGGCCTAGGAAGGAGATTTTTAGCTAGGTATGCTGCTGCCCCAACCAAGACCAGGAGGACGTGGAGGATGGACACGAGCTGGGTTGGCAGCAGCCATACTGAAGGCAGTTGGGTTTTTATCCTGAGCACCGGAATCTGTCCAAATGTTTCAAGCACGGTGGGTGTGTATGGGCATGGAGACTGCATTTACATTTTTCAGGGTCACTTGAGATGTTGTATAAAAAGTGAATTGGGTGTGATTTCTTTCATGGTCAGAAAGAAATCGCAAGACCAAGAACAGCCAAGGAGGCAGGTCCTCACACCCCAGGACTGCCTCCATCTGTGGTGTGAGCAAGAAGTGAGCGCTTTATTTGAACCACATCTTGAGAACAGAAAAAGCATTCTGTCTCATTTTATGACGCACATTTCTCTTAAAAGTGAAACTTGTACAATGAAGAACACAGTATTGACTTAAGGAAAGCTCACAGCGGATGGCGGAGCTTGTCGAATGATCGGTGTAATCACTGCTTGCTTCCCGCTCACGGGCACAGGGAGAAGCACCCAGGAACTGATGTGGGTAGCGGAGCTTTCTAAGCAAAGGAGGCATTTGGGACATTGTTCGTGTGGGGGAGGAGGGGCTGGCAAGAGGGAAACAAGGAATTTGCCATCTCTGTTCCAGCTGAAGGAAGAGCTGAGCCACTGCTTCTCCCCCTTCCTCCTTCCCAGTGCCCAGCAACCTGGTGGAAAAGGAAAAGATGACTATCATGTCCTGAGTATCAAAATACTAGGAATAATTTTGCAAAAATACCCAGCAGTGTCCTGCTTCTGAGGTCTCCTGTGTTATCATGGCCTCTCACACCCTCCAGGTGTTTCATATGGCTCCCTCCCAGGCCTGTCAGACACCCAGAACCCGGCTGGCTTCCCCCTTTTCTTGGGTTATTTCCAACATCCCACAGAACAGGCTGTGACACCACCTATCCTCACTGGGGGCACTCATTATCATATGGTGCATATTTGATTGAGAATCCCAAGAGTCCGAGGTTCACCGTTCTAAATATGTAAATTGTCACCCCGCTCTGTCAGCTTTGCGAGTTCCAATTCTGTTAAGTAGGTTTGCTTAAAAACAGCTGCATCAGTAAAATCCAACAACTGGAAACAACCCAAATGTCCATCAGCAGTAGAACGGATAAATGTAACATACTCATTCAGTGGAATACTATGCAGTAATTTAGCAAGCCGTCGCTCCATGCAGCATCATGCATGAATCTCACAACATTGAGTCAAAGACACCAGGCATGACAGAGTATGTATTGCATGTTACCATTTATATCCAGTTCAAACCCCAGCAAAACTAATCGGTGGTGACAAAGATCATGATAGCCGTTACCCTTCAGGCAAGTGGGTAGCACGAGGGAGCTTCTGGGGGCTGGTAATATCTGTTCTTGATTTGGAGGCTGGTTATATGGGGCAGTTTGTGAGCATTCAAGCTGTACACAAGACATGCATACTTTCTATATGTGTGATTTGCTTTAAAAAGACGCATCAGTTAAACACTTCAATTTGCTTAACAGCCATCTTGCTTTTTCCACAGATTGGTGACCAATGTGAGTCAAAAGCCATTGAAAAAGAGAAGACGGTGGTGGCTCTGCCGCCCAAGGAAGCGAGCAAATGCCACAAAGAGGATTTGGCCAAAGCATTTTACGTAAGAATTGAGTCTGCATTCGATGCCATTTGTGGTAAGGTTTTGAGATTAAGAAGAAAGCCACACAAAGTCCTGAAAGCTGCTTTAGAATTCTGTTATATTACATTGTTATTCTCATTGTTACAAAGTACTACTGATGTGGAACCCTTCCGATTTCCCATGTGGACCATCATCAGCATTGTTGTCCGTAGAGCTGGCCCTCATGAGGCCCCTCCCGGAGGACAGGCGCTGGGAGACACCGGCAAGGCGGGAGCCCACACAGCCCCGCGGCAGCACAGCCGGAGTTCAATCCAGGTGTTTTGACATCAAAGCTCAAACTCGTAACCATCCCCTCGTCACACCCTTCATCGTTTATAATCCCGTGTTGCCACTTACTGAAACCAAATTCCCACAAGTTTCTCAAGTGAATTTGAATTCCAGGCCAGTCCAAGACAAAAAAACACCACAAAAACAAAAAAACACCCACCCTCACTCCATGAAGCTCCTTTCTGAAGCTGAAGGACTTTGCTTGCTTATATTTTTAATTTGCTTGACTTAGAAAACTGAGCAAACATGAGGATGATGTGTGTGTGGGTGTGTGTTTACTCATAACCCACCACACTTTGAGAAAGCAAATAAGAATCCACTAATAAAAGGGCACAGGCCACAATCTCAAGGAAGTTGGAAGCCAGTGTTTCATGCCAGTCTTTTCTTAAGAATAATCCAAGTCTGTTTAAATTCCAGTCCTGCTTGTTAGTCTTTGGAGAGGGGAAGGACTGAGACATTTTTCCCTGCCTAGTAAATGAGCTTGGTTTTCTGTCTCTATTCAAAAGAATCTAGAAGTCAACGCGGCTTTCCCTGGCTCCTCTACCACTTGGTGGAGATTTCTTGTTGTGGGCTTCTTCAAAACAAGGATACCTTTGCTGCAACTAGAACAACAAAGTTTCCTTACGTTACCATTGACTCAAATTAGCTATGGTTAAGGTTATTTTATTTAAAGAGCTTGACACTGTATCTGGCACAGTGTATGCACGATATAATAGTTTTAGCTATTATTGTTGCCTTTTTTCTGTTTTTTTTAATTGTGGTAAAATACACAACATAAAATTTACCATCTTAACCATTTTTAAGTGTACAGTTCAATCATGTTGAGTACATTCACATTGTTGTGCAATCAATCTCCAGAACACTTTTCATCTTGCAAAACTGAAACTCTACACCCATTAAACACTAACTCCCCATTTCCCCTACCCCCAGCCCCTGCCAGCCACCCTTCTCCTTTCCACCTCAGTGAATTTGACTACTCTAAGCACCTCAAATCAGTGGCATCATACAGTTTTTGTCTTTTTGTGACTGGCTTGTTCATCCATTGATGGACACTTGGGTTGCTTCCACCTTTTGGCTATTGAGAATAACGCTGCTGTGAACATGGGTGTGCAAATATCTGTTCAAGATCCACTTCCAACTCTTTTGGTGTATATACCCAGAAGTGGAATTGTTTGCTGGATTGTGTGGTAATTCTATTTTTCCTTTTTTGAGGAACTTCCATACTGTTTTCCGTAGCAGCTGCACCCTTTACATTCCCAAGGCCTATTTTTTAAAAAAAGAAAATATGTGTTTTTGCATTTCCAGAATTCCATACTACAATGGCACTTGTTGAAATTTAGGCCCAGTGTTGTCGTCTCTGCTGTGATTGTAGGGCAGAGCTGTGGTCTAATTGAAAAAGAATTGGACGGTGGTTTCTGTGGGTTTTCCTTCTCTCTCTGCCCCTATCTGCTCGGGGTCTTTGAACCAGTCCCCTCTCCTTTGCGGATGGCCCATTTTCCTCATCTATCCTGAAGATGACTGGCTTCCTGAGTGGGAATTCTGTGACCTGGGCCCCTCGGTCCTCACTGGCCCATTGGTGAGCTTGTGCCCGACCATCTCCTTCCAGGTGGACTTACAGAATGGCCTGTCGGAGTTCTCGGTGACGCAGCGCAGGCTGGTCCACGGCTGGAACGAGTTTGTCGCTAACAGTACCGAACCCGCATGGAAGAAATATCTCGATCAGGTAAGATTGTAGGTGTCATTTCTTTCATTAACTAGTGTAAACCAGGGAGGGTGGGGCAGGCATTCATTCTTTAAATATGGATAGAGGTGTCCTTGGACCAGTCCCAGGGCGTGGGGTGGCTGTACTGTAAAGACAAAGAAGGCTCCCCGCTCATTCCGGCTGCTCTTAGCCAGCAGGAGGGATGGCCATGAGTAGATCACTAACTACCCAGGCAGCCAGGATCATGAATAATAGTTGTTACATTCACACACGGTTTACCACGCACCAGGCACCATGCTGAGTAAGTAAATAAGCAAGCATTAACTTACTTAATCTTCCTCCTGATCCCCATTTTGAGAGGGGGAGGGTGAAGTACAGAGAAGTGGAAATATTTCCCGCGGCTATGTATAGTTGTCAGATTTAGCAAGTGAAGATACAGGATGCCCTGTTAAATTTGAATTTCAAATAGATAAACAAGGAACGATTTTTTACTATGAGTGGGTCCCAAATGTTGCATGGGACCTACTTATACTAAAAAAAAAAGTTCCTTGTTTATCTGAAATTCAAATTTAACTGGGTGTCCTGTAGTTTATCTGGCAACCCAAGCACAAAGTCACAGAGCAGTAAGTGGCAATGCCAGAGAGTGACGCCACAGCTGGCTCCAGAGCCCCTGCCCTCCTCAGCCGCTGCATTGGTGCCGGCAAGGTGCTGAGTGAATGACACACAAGTCAAATGCCTGGAGCCACTGGAACGAGGAAAGAAAAATTTGAAATAGACACGGCTGCAAGTGCCAGTCTAAAGGTGGACACCCCCATGACCCATCCAGTACCAGTTCAGAAAGCCCCTGTTAACAAGCAGAATGTCCCAAGTACCTGAAGCCATTCAGATTGCCTCAGTTTCCCTTTCCTGGCCTTCTGCACCCCCTCTCCCATCCCTGACACCTCTCTCTCAGTCTCTGGCTGCCCAAGGCTTCAGCTGCCTTCCTATTGGCTCAGCATTTAAAGCTTTGTTGATTGGTCAGTTCAGAGACCAATCACAGCCCTCTTTGCAGCATCCTCAACCTCCCCTCCCCTCCAGTCCCGCCCTGCTCATTGGTCGGTTCTCAATGCACTAGAGCTGTCACTCATTGACGCATTTTGGCACCAAAATAGGCTTCTGGGTAGCAGGTGGCTCTGGTCAACCCAGAAATTCCTGGAACCCCAGTGTTGGAGAGAGGCAGCGGAGGCTCCTGGAAGTTGGAGTTCAGGGAAGCAGGCTGACACACAGGCTGTGGGGGACACTCTCCCTCTGGTTCCGCCCTGGCTGCCCCTTCCACTGGGACCCCCTCACCCATTCCCCTGCTGTCCTCCTTCCTGCCTCTGCCCCATCAAAACCTCACACCAAGCGCACTCCTCCAGCCAAGGCCTCCCCAGAAATGAACCTCTTCCATTTCTAAGAGCAGGGAACCTGCTTAATTCATCTTAATTTTGTCTGTTCAGGGACCCATCTGTGGGAATCCTTGCAGGACTGGAAGGCAGCCACAGAGAGCCCGTCTGCGCTCACTTATTAATTCTTTACATTCGTGGAGCACCTGCTCCCTGCTGGATGTTGTGTTTCTCCGTCTCTCCTCCAGTGGCGGGGCACTCACCACTTCACAAGGCAGCCCTACTTCTCCATCTCAGGAGGCTCACTGTCAGGACACGGCTGCCCAGAGTCATGAGGCAACGGTAGATTACATCAGGCCGTCCCGTTCACTTCCCACTTTCCAGCCTTGTGACTTTGAGCAAGTTATTGATCCTCCTTGACCTCAATTTTCCCTGTCTAGAAAGTGGGACCAAGAAATACCTACTGCTCTGGGTTTTACATAAGAAGACGAAAGCTTAGCACATATTAACTGCTTGATAAAGGTTGCCCCCACCCCTGAGTCTACAGATTCAGAACACAGATTTTGGAGTTGAGCCGACCAGCGTGAATCCTTGGGCACTTCCCTTTCTTTCAGAGTCTCAGGTTGCTCGTTTGTAAGCAAGACCACTTCGCAGTGCCTGTGTCCTAGGGTAGGCAGGGCCACGAAGTGGGGCGGGAAGAGCAGTTAGCACAGGCATGGCACCCCGTGGGTGCTCCAGAAAGGCTGGCTGTTTTTATGGTAGGAAACCTCTCTGGTGTGTCACCAGCTCCCTGCACAGCAAGGTTTCAACATCCCCCTTTCTACCTGTCTCCCTTCACATGTGGGGCTTAGAAGGGGCCCCGTGTGCCAGGAAGAGTCTGGTCGTCTGTGGCTGGAGCGTCCACTACCGGTGGACATGTGGGTTCTTCCCATTCACTCTGTCACCTGTCTGCTGTGTCTCGCCGTGCCTCCCTGGTGTTGGATGGGACAGGACCAGTGCTTGGGACTGACTCCAGGAGAGGGAGGGGGGAGGCTGGTGGTATCACTGTCGGCGTGGAGAGCTGCTCAGGTCCAGCCTCAGGAGAGGGAGCGAGAGGAGACTATAGGACTGGAATTGGGGTTCGAGGAGGGACTTGGTCCAGGCCTGGCTGGAGACCAGCTCCCAGTGCCAGCTCTCCCATGCCCCGGCCAGGACTGCGTACCCCTGAGCTAACCCTGGGCCCACGGCTGGAGGGTCCCTTGTCCAGAAACAGGTCCTCTGCTCCCAGACTCTCAGGCGGGTGCAGCCTGCAGGGAGGAGGAGGGAGCCGCCCCGCCAGGGGCGGGAGAGGGGAGGGCAGGGAGCCCCGTGGCGTTATCAAAGTGACCTGCACAGGAAGACACACACCTGGGGCTGGACAGACCCGGTGCTGATCTCCGCTCTGCTGTATGACCTTGAGCAGCAGTTCCAGCCCCACCGCGCCTCGGATTCCCCTCCTAAAAGTGGGGGTTCGCTGCTTCATTTGTTCATTCGTTCCTTCATTCATTCATTCCAGACAAATGTCTTTTATGCTCCTGGCCCTGGTCTAGGCACTGTGCACAGAGCAGCAGCCAAACCAAGTTTCTGCTTTTGGGGAGACAGACAGACAGATGGCTTCGTATGTAACACGGCACCCAGCGTGTGTGGTGGGGAAACGCGAGTCAGGACAAGGAGTTAGGAAGGGACGGCAGGGGGCGGCTGTTGAGGACCGGGTGGGCAGGGGAGGCATTTGACCGGTGCTCAGAGGAGGTGGTGTTGGAGGAGAGACCTGAATGAAGTGAGGAAGGGAGCCGCGTGAGGCTCTGGACGAAGGAGGCTGCAGGAGGGGAAGTGCGGAGGCCCGAGGAGGGAGAGGCCTGGTGCACGTGAGGATAATGGGCTTCAGGAGGTGCCCAGAGCCTGGCGCATTGTGGGTGTCCGGTGCGTGTTTGTGTGTCTCCCCGCTCTTCTCACTTCTATCCAACCGGATGGGAAGTCTGTGATGGGCTCAGGGCTGAAGTGAAATCTTAACTCCATTGAACTGAGGGCTTTTTCCTCTCTGTACCAGGTTGAATAGTGTCCCCCCAAAATTCATGTCCACCTGGAACCTCAAATTATGACCTTATCTGTAAATAAGATCTTTGTAGATGTGATTAGTTAAGCTGACGTCATAGTGGATTAGCTTGGGCCCTAAATCCGATGACTGGGGTCCTCATGAGAAGAAGGAAAGAGCCTCAGAGACACACACAGAGGAGAGGCCGTGTGACAGCAGAGGCAGAGACTGAAGGGATGCGTCTACAAGCCAACGAACGCCGAGGATGGCAGCAACACCAGGAGCTGGGAGAGGCGGGAAGGATCCTCCCCAGCGCCTCCAGAGGGAGCACGGCCCTGCCCACACCTTGATTTCAGATTCTGGCCTCCGGAACTGTGAGAATGAGTGTCTGCTGTTTTAAGCCCCCAGGTTGTGGTCGTTTATTACAGCAGCACCAGGACACAGACGCTCCATGAGCTCACATTTCCCTCTGCTCTGGCACTTCGTCCTCCCTGGATTTCTGAGGAAAGTGTGGGTCCACCTCTGGGCGGAGTATTTGGCAATGACTGCGTGCTCTGCCGAGCAGCTCTGCATCCAGCCTGCAGACTGGGCAGCCTGCTCCCTCTGCAAGCTGCCCCCAGCCCCCCATCTCCAGCTGCCAGGTGCTCTCAGAACCAAAAAAGGGGCTTCTCTGACCAAAATCTTTCTTTCAACATTTTATTGGAGAAAATTGCAAAAATACACATAAGTAGAGAGAATAATAGAATGACCCCCAATATCCATCATCTAGCTTCAATAATTATCAACCCATTTGACACATTTTTTTATCCCCCCTTTTTCTCTGCAACATTTTGTGTGTGTGTGAGGAAGATCAGCCCTGAGCTAACATCTGCCAAGCCTCCTTTTTTTGCTGAGGAAGACTGGCCCTGAGCTAACATCCAGCCGATCTTCCTCCACTTTATGTGGGACACCACCACAGCATGGCCTGACACGTGTTGGGAAGGTGCGCGACCGGGATCTGAACCAGGGCTGCCAGTAGCGGAGCACACGCACTTCACCGCTACACCACGGGGCCAGCCCACTGCAACATTTTAAAACAAGTTCTAGATCCTGAATCATTTTACCATCTATACTTTGGTGTATGTCTCTACCATTGGAGGATGTTTTTCTTTTTCTTTTTTTTTAACCATAACAACAATACTATTATCCCAATAATGCCATTAACACTTCAGTATCCTCCAGTGCCTGGTCCAGAGCCAGTGTTCCCCACAGGCCTCAAAGACGCCTCTTTACTGTTGATTTGTTGGAATTGGGGTCTGAACAACGTGCACCCTTTGCTTTTGGATGGTGCATCCCTTCAGTTGCTTTATTCTAAGCCCTTTCCTGATCTGTGACTCCATGCCCATGGAACGGCTTATGAGGTCTGCAAAATTCACTGACACTTTATTTACATATCGGAGACATGACGCTTACGGAGAAGCCTGTCGCTGGCCGAATAAGGTCCAGCTCAGGAGCTTCGATGCAGTTCCAGCTTCTGTGGGGAGCTCTGCTGCAGGCCTCCCCAAGTCCACTCCCCGCAGCGTCTGAGACCCAAGCACCGGGCTCAGCAGGCCGGCTGGCTTTGAGGGCCGTTCTTCCCAAAGGTACGATGACCCCTGGCCCAGCCCCACCTCAGTGAGGATGGATGGGAGAGCCTCCCTGAGGGCCAGCTGTGTGACCAAGAGCCCTGAGGGAGGGGCCGTTCTCGGGAACTCAGGCAGCCACAGCTCCTCCCTTCGCCTAATGTTCATCGAGTAGCTTCTATAACCAGTCCTGTAGTCCCCATGGCCGCCATGTATTACAGCACCTACTATGCACCGGCCACTGGGTGGGGCACTTTACTCTCACTATGACCTCCAGCCCTCACATCTGCCGAGAGAAAGGGAGAGACTTGGGGAGGTTAGAGGCTTGCTTGAGGTTTCTCAGTGAGGTAACGGTGGAGACAGAGCTCAGAAGGTGAACTGTCTTTGAGCTGCTCAGTCTTAATGATTCAAAGTAGAAGCTGTGGCTAACTCAAGGCTGCTGGCGAGCCAACCACAAAGTGTTCTGTCCCTCATACAGAGGAGACAAAGCACAGCATTTCTGGGGTGGGAGGCGTTAAATCCCTTCGTGTACCACACTGGTGTGATGACACTGATGTGCTGCCTTTTGTGAGCAGCATGAATCACACAGCCAGTCACATTTCCCATTTTGCTTTGGTTGCTGGGAAGCTCAGAGCCAAATGTGCAGCCCCATTTTAAACAACCATGACTTGCTTGTTGATATTTTGACTCTCACCCTGATCCTGATCTTTGGTCTGCTCTCTCTGATCCTGTTTTTCTGTGTTTGTGCTTAGCTTCCTTTCACTTGTCTGTAACAATTGAAATGTACATGTGAAATGAGGGGCAGATACATAGAATCATAAAGTAAAAATCCTTTTGGGAAGTTTCTGGAACACCTGTTCTTGGGAAGGACATCATTGGAGCCCCCAGAGGCAGTTACAGGAGCAGGTTGGTGTGATTGCGACACACAGGATTGGGGGACTGGCATGCTGGAGGGAACCCTTGGCCATGCTGGACCGGGGCTGGCATCCCACCAGAGGGAACAGGTCCTAACCTGCAGCATTGTGGAGATGTGGCCAGGCGAGACCAAGAACTCAAAGGCAGGGCCAGGACCGCTGTCCTGACAGGAACAGTGTCAGGGTGACCCCGGGAAGCCCGGGTCAGAGAAACTGCAGGGATGGGATTTCTGGCGGAGGAGAACCACTGGATGGCGGTGGTCTTCCTCCCCTCCCGTCGATCCCTGTAGCGTTGACCTGGCAGCGTGGCTGTGAGTGAAGAGTGGCCGCTGCCTGGCGGTGTGAAGCCCGGTCTCTGATCTTTGCGAGACTAGAAAAGAACCCACCGGCCTGTTTCCGTCTTTCAGTTTAAGAACCCCCTGATCATGCTGCTGCTGGCCTCTGCCCTGGTGAGCGTCCTCACGCGGGAGTACGAGGACGCCGTCAGCATCGCCCTGGTGAGTGCACGGGGACAGCGCCCGGCGCCCAGACCCGCGGCCAGGGCGCCTGCTGAGTCTCTGCTTGTTTCTGTTATGTGAAGAAAAAAGAGTCTGGCCATAGAGAAAAAAATAGAAAATACAGCAGAAAAAAGGAAAGCAAATCCTCACCCTTCTCCACCCCTCCACTGGGGGGTCCTGGTTTATGTGGCCAGCGCTCTCTGGGCAGACCCCCAGGTGGCTTCTTGTTCTTTGCTGCTGGGAACAATGTTGTCGTGAACTCTTCTTCCATGATTCTTGGATGGGATTGCTGGGTCCTGGCTGTGCATGTCGTACAAAGAGTAATCGCTTATAATCCATTACCCAGAGAGAGCCACTGGGAACCTTTTTTAAAAAAAAAAAATTTCTTATTTAGATTTAAAGCACCTTAAAAAGTAGCCATTTTGAAGTGAACAATTCAGTGGCATTTAGTACATTCACAAATCTAGTTCCAAAATATTTTCATTGCCCTAAAGGAAAACCCCATATCCATTAAACAGTCGCTCCCCACTCCCCACTCCCAGCCCCTGGCAGTCACCGGTCTGCTCTCTGTCTCCACGGGTTTACTTGTTCTGGATATTTCATGTAAACGGCTTCATGCACTGTGTGACCTTTTATATCTGGCTTCTCCTGAGCACCTTTTGATGGCTGTCATTCCTGCTTCCTTCTCTCTGTCATGTGCTCTTTAAAATACAAAAACAGGCTCATTCCACGTGATGGAATGCACTGCCTCTGTTTAAAAGGCTGAGGTTAGAGCCACGTCTTCTGATGTGGAATAGTGTTTACAGCATGTTGTTGAGTGGAAAAGGCAGTTTATAAAAGAATATGTCTGTGTACATCATCCTATGTTAGAGTGTCTATGCAGAAAAATCTAGAAGGGCACCCCAAAATGTGAACCTCGGGGTAGAATTTGGGGTGATTTTTCTGCTCTCTTTTTTTTGGGGGGGGGTTGCGTGTTTTCTAAATTTCAGCACAGTGCACTTACTTGGCAAGAAGAAAGGGAATATATTTTGAAAGACGAGCCCCTCCCCTCACCTCCTGTGGGTCTGCTCACTCGCTCACTGGGCAGCTGCCTATTAACGCCCCTCCCGTTTGCCCCCTAGGCTGTGCTGATCGTGGTGACGGTGGCCTTCATCCAGGTGTGTATTTCCTGAGGCCCTGGCTGGGGTAACCGGGGCACGACAGGAGCTCTGTGGGGCCCCCACCCTTGATCAGCATGTTTGATGTGTTTCCTGCCAGGAGTACAGGTCGGAGAAGTCTCTGGAAGAGCTGACCAAGCTGGTTCCCCCCGAGTGTAACTGGTAAGTCAGAAACCCCCTGGGACTTTGGTTCACTGGAGGAGCTGGTGGGCTCGCAAGTTTGGCAAGATTTGTATCCTTTGTGGTGCGATATGGGAGAACCCTGTCTCACCAGGGTTAGGATACCCGGGCTCTGCCCTGCCAGTGGAGTACTGTGTGTCCTTGGGCGTGTCATCCGACCTCTCTGGGCCTCAACTGTCACTAGTGTCTAATCAGGGTGCCTGGCCTGGGGGCCACGGATAGTGGGAATGGCTTTGGGGAGAAGGCAGCCCGTGAAACCTGTGATACAGTGTCAAAACTGTGCATTTTTCCTCGGGAGAGTGTGGAGAGGGTGGACTCAGACGAGGGTGAGATGAGGAACTTTGACAAGCCGAGGCGTTGGAACACTGGGGTGAAGGTGGGGCCACTCGAGAAGGAACCCCAGGCAGTCGATCAGCAGCCCCTTCCTGCCCGACATTTCCACGTTGCCATTTGTTATCATACAGCCCTTACCAAAGATGTTTAAAAAGGAAAAAGAAAAGACAGAAATCTCTGCCGATGCCTCGTGGGCATTTCTGCTTGATTCAGTGCTGTACCATAGAACTTTCTGGAATGTTCTATAATCTGTGCTATCCAGTATGGCATCACTAGTCACATATGGCTACTGAGGACTTAAAGTGTGTCTGGGGTGACTGAGGAACTGAGTTCTTCATTTGTTTAATTTTAATTTAAATAGCCACATGGGCCAGTGGCTACCATACGGGACAGCTCAGGCTTAGGGTGTGTGCAAGGGCTGGTGCCCTTGGTAGAGGAAGCTGCAGACACAGAAAGGAAAATGGTCCAGGCCTGGCTTTTTCTCGATTTAATTTTTAGTATACCAATAATCCACACATTTATTCTCCTTGTAAAAAGGAAATGATTTCAGAAAAGGCCAAAATCTTCTCCTTCACCTCTACTAGGAAAGGTTGAGGTCATTTCAGGGTCATGTGTCTTTCCCAAATATGCATTGCTGCTCAAAAGAAAGTAACTAAAGTATCATGTGATCCGAGGTGCTTTGGAGGGACCTAAACATCCAGAAACTATTTTCTGGAGGATAATTCTTGGGGAGGAAACATAACATATATTTGGGTAAATATGGCACAGTTGAGCCACAGGGCTGGGGGATAGAAAGATCTAGTGAGATAGAGTCCCGCCTCTCAAGGAATCAGCAAGCAAGTTGTGTGTGTGTGTGTGTGTGTGATACAAGGCAGAGAATATTGAATAACAAAATAAACAAAATAGAGACAAAAAGAGGATGATGTGGAAGCATGAGAGAGGATGAGTCACTTCTAGAAGGTTCACTGGGGGCAGTAAGAATGTCTGGGCTTAATAATTGGACAAACAAGCCTGTCAGAAATCCAGGTGTGTGATGTGATGTAATCGTATGAGCAAACGGAAGCATAAATGATGTATGTGGTTTGATGATCTGATCTTAAGTTTAAATATCAAGTCTTGGCCTTTCAGGTGAGTAGTATGCATTATTGATGCCCCCTGAAGTCACTTCTAAAAGACAAGTTTATTCTCAAGAACAGCGGTGGCAGGCAGCCTGCTAGAGTTGAAAGAGCATTGGAGATACACAGCCTCGCTCGCTGAGCCTCTGAGACCTGTGTTACAAATTGGAGAAACACCTTCCATGCAGACCCTTCCTGCACCACCTCCATCCTTTGTGCAGTCATAAAATATTTAGTGAGCACCTACTGTGTGCTGGGAGAAATAGTGCCAGGGTTACACTGGTGAACAAGATGGGACGGCTTTGGCCTTCAGGGCCCTCACTTTCCTACCAGGGGAGGCAGGTAATAAAGTGAAGGAACGAGATGATTTTGGAATGCAGCAGGTGCGTTAAAGCCAAAAAAGACCCCCCAAAACCCAAAGCCGCATAAAAATCAAAACAAACAAAAACCTGCCGGAGATGCGATACTGACCGGTGGAGGAGTGGGAACAACTTTACATAGCTGGTGATCAGGCTGCCCTGATCTGGTCTTTAAGGAGGAGCTTACATTTAAGTTGAGGCCTGAGAAAGAGAAGGAGCCAGCCATGGGAAGAGCTGAGGAAACAGCAGGTGTATATCTGATAGGTGCTCTTGGCTACAAGGAACAGAAAATTCAGCAGCACAAACCACAAGGAAATTGTGTTATCTCATGGCAGAGGATATAAGGCAGAGGGACAGAGGGGTTAGTTCAAGAGAGCACTGAGGACTTGTTCCTTTTATTTCTTTACTCTCCCATCCTCAGCTCGTTGGCTTTGTTCTCTGGCTGGCTCCCCTCATGTTCCCGAGATGGCTGCCACAGCTCCAGGCATCACAGCCAGACATGAAAAGGTTGAACAGAAAAAGAGACCATGTGTGTATGTGTGTTTACAGAGTGAGGAAACCTTTCTCACGAGCTCCCAGCAGATGTCCACTCATGTCTCACAGACCAGTGTTGCAGACCGTGCCTGTGCCTAAGCCAGCCATGGGCAGGGGGTGGGCTCACTGTGATGGGCTCAGCCAGTCAGGACCCACCCCCTGGAGCACGCATGTGGGGAGAAGGGTAATACCGAACAAGATGGAATTCTGTTAACAAGGAAGAGGGGAAGTCTGCTCCAGGATTCAAGGTCGGCCGAGACCTTGAGACTAGAAAGAGCTGGGTGTGTTCCAGGGCTGGATGGCGTGAGAGGGGGAGTGGCAGGACGTGGGGAGGAGGCAGGCCCAGGTTAGAGGGCCTTTGCAGGGCCTTTGGGTTTGATTCTAAGGTCATCAGAAAGTTCCTGAGTTCTCCAGATGGTCCCTGCACGCCAGAGGAATGCCTTCTCTGAGGACAGAAGTGCTGCCGGCTCCATTAAAGAAGCTTTAGAGCCACTGATCTAGACCTGCAGAAGCTTCTGGAGGCCGTGTGGCCCAGCCTTGTTTCCAGGGTAAACTGTAGTAGCCCCGTTTTTGAGATGGGGCCCTGAGTCTCCCAGAAGCCACACACTTTCCCAAAAGTCTTTTAGGATACGTGAATTTAAAAAATAATAAAACCATAAAGGCACGAGTTTGTCCATAACTGAAAGAGAAAGTGGGTTTCTATTATCTTTGCTTAAATTTATCCAAGTGCATAAAAATGGGGTGTCAACAGGGTGCTTTTGCTTTTTACCGTTTCCCCCGCAGCATAAGAGAAGGGAGGCTCCAGCATCTGCTGGCCCGAGACCTGGTCCCCGGAGACGTCGTGTCTCTCTCCATCGGAGACCGCATCCCTGCAGACATCCGTCTCACCGAGGTGAGGGTCCCCGAGCCCTGCAGGTGGGGTATGCAGACACTTGGCTTATTGGCGGCTGGCACTCTCCTGCTCACACACCCACACGTGCACGCACGCACACACACAGGCACTCACACCGAGTCAGGAAGTTAGCAAACAAGCTAATTTTAAGCACAAAGCCCCTCAAATCATATTTCACAGATTATTTATTCTCATTTTAAGTGTAAGCCTAATGAATTTTGGTTACGTGACTTTCTAGTTTACAGCAGACTGCAGCAGCAAGTTAAACCAGGGTGGGGCTGAGGAATGAGGCAAGAGTTGCTTCTAGAATCAGCCACACTGATGTCAGAAAGAAGTGATATCAGACGGTTTAATCACAAAGAGGGAAACAGAACAACAAAGACATAAAACAGCACAATCTTTTGTAACAGGGCGGTTTGGGGACATTGGTGTGGGGCAAGCTGTTTCCCTAACCTTTGTGGGGGTCAGGGTGTCACAGCTTCACAGAAGGAGGGGTAAGGCTCTCCAAGATAATCCTGGGTTCTCAGGAAAAGGTTACATGGAGTTCAGAGGGATCTGTTGATGTGAGTAATCTATTTTATGGTTCCTTCCAAGAATACTTAAGAATTGTTCAAAGCTTTTAGTGATAAAGGATTAATCACAGGTTATCTGCCGACTTATTTATTTAATAGCATGCTGTTAAAAGGGTGGCCTGGGGTAGAGGGATGGAGAGAGGCACCGAGGCTGGGAGCCAACCCTGGGGACCTGCGTTTACAACAGTCTTAGCCAGGCTTTGAAGTAGAGCTGGGGGCCAGAGGGACACAGAGGGACATGCCCTCAAACCCCTCTGCCCCGGACTTTTCAGACTTTCGTCTCCAGGGGGCGGGACTAGGGCGAGCAGGGAGGGGCGCTCACCCTCACGCTCCTGCTCCTGCCCGTTCCACACCAGAATGGATTCCTCACCGCCCGCTCCTCCCTGTACCTGCGTTCAGTGTCCGACTCCAAGTCCGGGGCGTGTGGGTCCCATTAAAGGAAGCTTTGTCCAGTGGCCAAGCCCGACCACAGAGAGGGCTAGGGAAGCCAGTCAGACATCGTCCACTTCTCTGCCTCCCAGCGTGGGGGGTTCCCCAGGTAGGGGCCAGGGTCCAGATGCTGGGCAGCCAGTAAGGAGGACACGCATGGGTGGAGTCGGGTGGTTAGTGCCCTGGGCCTAGGCATTAGCCTGGGTTTGAGCCTGGGGCCCGTCATTCACAAACTGTGACCTGGAGCAAGTTACCTAACCTCTCCTTGCCTCAGTTTCCTCATCTGTAAAATGGGGGATGATAGGGCCCAAAGAGTGGTTGTGAGAATTAAATGACCTCAAGATGCAAAGTGCTGAGAACAGTGCCCGGCCGGGGGGAGTGAGGGGCGCACATCGGGAGTCAGAGGGCCCTGGTTTCACACCCCCACCCTGCACCTCCCAGAGTGTGACTTTGAGGAAGGGATTGGCCTCTCTGAGCCTCAGTTTCCTCATCTTTCAAAGGGGATGACGACCATGTCCACCTCAGGGGTTACTGTGAATTAAACCAGCGGGGACCTGTGACAGGCTGACATGCTCCCTGTCGGGGGTCAGCAGTCACTGAGTGTTAGCGACCGACGTTGTCCTGGGTCATTACCAGTCTCTACAACAGTTCGAGACAATTTTTTAAACCCCAGGTAACTCCCTTCCTACTTCAGCTGGCTTCCTCCTGCCTGGCTTACGTGAAATTACATCGTACCTGGTGATCGACTCTGCAAAGGGTTTTCCCGGCTACTAGCCCCGAACCCTCCAGATCTCTTTTCTGGTATTTCTCCACTCCGTTGAACAATCGACAGCTTTGTTTATTCACGGGAGAGTATTTCTATCAGCTGTTAAGCTCTGAGGTCCAGGAGAGCTTTCTATGCATTTTGAAGCATTTAGGTCCAGGAAACAGCAGGTTCAAGAAAGTTCTTAAAATAAGTGACCCAAGTGCTAGCCCTGTTTGCATAGAGGTCACAAAGCCTTTTCTCTTCCCGTAGTTTAAGGCCAAGGCCTCGGTGACAGGCCGATGTGGGCCAGCCGGTCAAGCAGGGCCATTGCCCTTTCTCTCCTCATGTTTCTACAAGGAAAAGGGATCTGTCAGGACTCCAAGTAATGCTTTATCTCAGAGGCGGGAGCACTGGCAGGCGAGGAGCAGGTGCACCTTTGTCTGCACCTGAGCGGGAAGTGCTGGGGTCGCACGTGAGCCCTCGATTGTACCCCATCTCCAGGCCGAGCTGCCTCCTCGGCGGCCTCTGTGCTGTGCGAGTTGTGTGCCCCAGCTCTGGTTTTGGCCACTCGCCCCCTCGCCTGACATGGTGCCCGGGAGGTCACCAGAAGCCCCCCAAACACACACACACACAACCAGCTTTGTTCCTTCCTGGTCCAGGTGCTCCCCCTTAATCTCTATCCCCCTTTATTTTTCTCATGTGACGAGAACTAATGTGAACATAGAAAAAAAATCAGGTCTGTGCTAACCGTGGATTAAAAATGCCTCATTTCATCTCCCAACAACCTTAAGAGAACAGTACCTCATTTTACAACAAGGGCACAGAACCCTGGAAAGATGGAGCCCACCTGAGGTCACAGGGCAGGAAGTGGGGAGGGGGAATTTGACCCGGGCCGCCTGGCTGCAGGGCCCACATCCTTCACCACATGCTGTGTGCTCTCTTTCCCTGTGACTTGCTGCTCTGACTTTTCCTGGCTCTGGCTCTCCTCTGGGTTTGCTCAGTGTATCCATTTCCTATATCTGCTGTAACAAATTGCTGCATACATAGTGGCTTAAACAACACAAAGGCATCATCTTATAGTCTGCAGGTCAGAGTCAAAATCAGTTTCACCTGGTGGAAATCAGGGTGTTGGCAGGGCGCCGCTCCCCCAAGAGGCTCCAGGGGAGACTCTGTTCTCTGGCCTTTTCCAGCTTCTGGAGGCCACCCGCATTCCTTGGCTCATGGGCCCGAATCACTCCAACCGCCGCTTCTGTCCTCACATCTCTCTGACTCTCGGGCACATCTCTGACCCTCCTCTTTTAAGGGCCCTCGTGATGACATTTAGGGCCCACCTTGATCACCCAGTATCATCTCCCCACCTCAAGGCCCTTGACTTAATCACATCTGCAGAGTCCCTTCTGCCACATCAGGTAACAGCCACAGGTTCCAAGGAGTAGGACATCGACATCTTTGGGGGATGGGGGTGCTACTACTCACCCCACCACACTAAGGCCCTCCTCCCTTCCTGCCTCAGGGCCCCCTCCCCACACCCCACTCCTCGTATCCCCATCACTCATTCATTCACCAAATATATGCTGAGCGCCTGCTGTGTGCCTGGGCCTGTGCCAGGTGCTGAGGAGACAGTGGGGAAAACAGACCTGTGCTTGTGAGTTTTAGCCTGACTGACAGACAAATCACATCTACTCATGACAGGCAACCATTCAACGACTGCTGGGGGAGCTTCAGGGGAAAGTACAGGGAATTCTGGATTTCCCAAACACAACGGGCTTGCCTGGCCCAATGCAGTCACAGAGGGCTTCCTGGAAGCAGTGGCTTTTGAGCCCACCTGGAGTGGACACAAATCAGCTGTTCTAGGCAGAGGAGGCCCTGGCTGTGTGCCTAGCCCTGACCTAGAAGCCGGACATGTTGCTGCTTTCAACTGCCTGCAGTGTGTCTCCACCAGGGGGATTGCCATGCGGGAGGGCCATTTCTGCCACCTGGAACCTGCTCCCCACCAGGATGACTCAACCCTTCTCATTCCTGAGGTCTTGCTGTGTTTGGGGGGTTAGTATTGGAACAAGACTTAGCGACCTTCTAGCCCAGGGTCTCCCCACTCTTGCCCCACGAGATGTTCCAGGTACTGCAGCCCCCTCCTGGAGAGTCACAGCACTGATTTGCATAGTAAAGGCTCTGACAAGTCCTGTGCAGAAGAAAACCAGTTCACTGGGTTCTACCTCATGTATCCCAAACTTGATTCACTGTGGAACCCTTCCTCCAGAGAGCAGCAATTAACTCCCTGCACATGTGGGTTCCACAAAACACAAGTGGGAAAAGGATGTGCTAAGTCCCACTCATCCGTTTTATAAATGGAAAAACTAAAGTGTCCCAAATCACTGTCACAATTGCAAATGTGATTTTTAAAAAAAGAGGAAGAAGAACTTTTGAGAAGTCTTGCTGGTGAACCAGCGTGGAGATCCAGGGGCTCTGGGACATGCAGTCAGAGCGTTTAAAGACTGGAACTAAAAAAGACTGAACGAGGGGCTGGCCCAGTGGCACAGGTGGTTAAGTGCGTGCGCTCTGCTCCGGCGGCCTGGGGTTCGCTGGTTTGGATCCCGGGCACGCACCGATGCACCACTTGTCAGGCCATGCTGTGGCAGCGTCCCATATAAAGTAGAGGAAGATGGGCATAGATGTTAGCCCAGGGCCAGTCTTCCTCAGCAAAAAAAAGAGGAGGATTGGCAGATGTTAGCTCAGGGCCGATCTTCCTCACACACACACACAAAAGACTGAACAAATGAACCTGAGGAAGAGTTAAGGTTTAGGTCTTGGTTCAGAGGGTTGGAGAGTTCCCTCAGCCTTGACCTGTTGGATTCCTGCCAATGCCAACTAGACCTAAATGAAATACTATTAGGATCAAATATGCTTATTTTAAAAATGTTCTGTGAAATGGATTCAGCTCTAAACCTTAGTGACTTCTGCCTACTTCCGCATGTCTAGTTAGTTCCAGTTGCTGCCAGTTCTCATTCTTTCCACCTGGCTCTTACGTCCATGCCCACTGCCACCCCCTCATTGAGAGCCGTACAGTGCCTCATGGTATTTCTTGGACTGTAGGCTTCCCCTCCCCCAGGCAACGGGCCTACTTCTTCCAATATCTAGCATCATTTTGTACATCTCATCCAAGTCCCTTCCTCCTCTGCTCAAGACTTTTCACGGCTCCTCATTATTACAAGGTATTATCCCAATTTCTTAACCAACGCCAAGTGCAATTGGGTTCCAACCACACCTTCCACAAGTGCTCCGCTCCAGTCAAGCTCCTCGTGTTCCCAGGGGAACCAAACCTCCTCTCTTGTTGCCTGTGCCTGCTCATCATAGTTAAGTCCATCTTCCATTCAGTGCTCCTTGAGGGCAGGGGCAGCTCTCCTTCTCGCTATGGCTTCAGCACCTGGGACAGCGCCCACCCCTGCCCACTCCCCAGAACCTGTATCCCAAAGAGGGTGCACTGGTGCCAACACTCAGCACATAGGGCTGCTGTTCTTGTAGTGTTGGTGGGGTGCTGGGGAAAGAGAGGTCTTTTCTTTGCCTCTCGCATCTCTCAGTAGCTTTGATCAAGTGTGTTATTACTAAGGTCACCCACCATCAGTTCTCCAACTTGCCTTCTTTTCCCTCCCTAGAGAACCTGCCAGGTTCACTCACCCATGTCTGCTCATCCTTCAAGGCCTGTTGTAGGCCCCAGATCCTCCAGGAAACTCTCCTTCTCTTCCAGCTCATCCTCCCAACACCAGCCACTCCACTCTCCTGTTTCCCACTCCCAAACCTTCTGCTACAGATTAGATCTGATTAGAACATCAGATTGTTCTAATTACTTCTCCCAAACTCAGTCGGCAGAGGGATTCCCTTCCCAGTGTTGACTTATTTTTATTACAGTGTTACTTAAATGTGTACAAACATAAAGGTAGCTACAAATTCCGTGTGCTTCAAACTTATATACAACTGTAAACATAAGCCAAATTTTCAAAGTAAGTACAACTTATTCAAATTAATATTATTATTATTATTAGACAGTGTTTTCTGGGAACTAAATCTCCGCTTGACATGGGGAAGTGGAGTCAGCAACCTGTGGTGCTGGGTGACTTGGTTCTCCATTTCTTTTTTCATTGTGAGTTAGGAGCTATTCCATGAGGTCATTTGACTTTACCTATATGTCCTGGGGATAAAAAACACTAATGCAAACTCTAGATCAGTTGGTAGTTGTGTTTGTCTGTGGTACTAGATTAAGATAAATATATTAGCTTCAACGGGCTGGGGATTTATTCCTCTCTCACATAATGAGAGTTCAGAAGTGGAGGGTCAGAGCCAATATGGCGGCTCCACCACGAAATGAAGGACCGGGCTTCTCCCAGCCCTCCACGCTGCCCTCCTGAGGGTGTGGTCGTCTTTTTAATGCTTGTAACATGGCTTCTGGAGCTCCTGTCAGGGTAACAAAGGCCCAGGGAAGGAGGAGGAGGAAGGCGAGGCAGGCAAAGAGGGCCTGTCCGCTCACAGACCTTCCCCAGGACCGTCAGTGACTTCTCCTTACGTTGCACTGTCTGGAGGGTAGAGACACCATGAGCTACAGGGAGGCTGGGAAGTGGGGTGTGTGGCGGGGTGTATCGCCATCCCAACACCGTGAGGGTTCTGTTAAGAAGGAACAGGGAGAGATGGGCATTACAAACCCCTGTCGTCCTTGGGACTGGGATTTGATGGCAGTGTGCATATTTTTTTAAGGATTGTTATTGAATTTAAAAATCTGAAATTATAGAGAACTCACAGACCCCTGTTTGAGAAATGCTGACCTCACTGTTCTCTTGTGAGTTTGTAGGAGGATGGTTTTTCCCTCTGGATTGGTCTTGTATGCTCAAATGACACCGTCCTGAGGGGTAGGACCCACGCTAGGCTCTTGATGTCCTCCATGGTATCTGGCACAGTTCTGGCCACAGGAGACTCGCCTCTTGAGTGATGCCTGCTGGGTCTGCAGTCAGTTTTTCAGGATGCTTAGGAGAGTAGTTTCTGGAACCAGAGCCTCGGTTCAAACCATTGCTCTGGCACTAAGAAGCTGTGTGACCTTGAGAAGTTACTTAATCTCTCTGTGCCTCAGTTTCCCCATAGGTAAAATGGAGAAAATAGCATCTTTCATGAAGGGTGTGAGGATTAAGAGATAAGCCTTGTGAAGTGCTCAGGGCAGAACCTGGCACATAGTAGGTGTTCTAGAAACATAAGCACATACCTCCTCCTTTCCTGGTGTGTGTGAGTGTGTGTGTGTGTGTGTGTGTGTGTATCTATGCCCGTGCATGTGTTTCTGGTGTTGACATAACCTTAGGCTGGCTCAGTGATTTCAAACCACACAGATGGCTCAGGAATCTCCAAGGTAGGCAGGATATGGAGTGTTGGGAGAAAGGGCCAGGTGTTTTGGAAGGTGTATTCTAAATCAACCATTGCCTAAGTTTCTTAACGTTATATTAAAATTTAAAATAATGCTTACAAAGGGTATAAGATTTTTATGTTTTTCGAGAGGGGCCACATGTTCAAAGCTTTTCCGATTCCTGGAGGCATCTGAGACCACGGTCTGGTACTTGTTCCCTGATTTCAGCGTGTTTCTTGTGTGCTGTCAGTTGGCAAATAACATTAAGGTGGTAGATACCGTTCTGCGCTCTTAAAGCCCGTTCATGGGGTGAGCGGGCAGATCCCATGGTCTTTTCCCTCTGGTCACTTAGGTCACAGACCTCCTGGTGGATGAGTCCAGTTTCACAGGAGAAGCTGAGCCGAGCAGTAAAACCGACAGCCCGCTGACGGGCGGAGAGGACCTCACCGCCCTGAGCAACATCGTCTTCATGGGGACCCTGGTGCAGTGCGGGAAGGGGCAGGTGAGCCCCGGGCCGCCCTGGGGACCTTGGCCTCCCTCACCAGCAGGCTGGCGCCCAGCCGCGCATCTCACCCTTGTCTCTCCCGAGCACAGGGAGTGGTGATCGGAACCGGGGAGAAGTCTCAGTTCGGAGAAGTGTTTAAGATGATGCAGGCCGAAGAGGTGAGGGCCAGTGGGGCTTCGGTTTTCTTGTCAGCCGGGGTTTGAGATTATTCTCGGCTAGTGATAGCAGCCCTGCCCACCCCTTAGGAATGAGGGTCATGTAGTTATTGGGAGTATACTTTTTAAAAATCTATTTTTATTTTAAAACATTTATTAGGATTTTGGTCAAGATATACCTTACAGTAACACGTGCAGGTTTTAAATGTAGTGGTCAATGAATTTTTATATATGTGTCCCTGTGTAATTGTCACTCTGCTCAAGACATAACAGAGCCAGGTGGAGGCTGGGGGACACTGCTGGGAGCTCATCTAGTGAACCTGTTGTTCTCATCCTTTCAGACGCCTAAAACTCCTCTACAAAAAAGCATGGACAAGCTGGGGAAGCAGCTGACGCTCTTCTCCTTCGGCATCATTGGTGGGTTAAGCAGTTTCTGCTCTGGGTCCTGGGGATCGGGGGTGGGGGAGGGAGCCATCCTGAGCGGCCACAGCTGTTTCTCAAATATCGTGCTGCTCAGCTGGGTGAGGATTAGGGGTTGGTATCAGAGACGCCCTGACAGCAACAAGAGGTTTCTGTCTTAGTCAGACCAGGCCAACTGCTGTAATGAGCAGCCCCTGCACTTTAATGGCTTAACATGGTGACGTTCCTTTCTTGCTCACACCACAGTCCATGGGCGTGTTCCTGGTTGAGTAGCTTTCCTGGATAGCTCGCCTCCAAACACTGACTCGGGCCCAGGCCCCTGCTGTATTGTTGCTCTCCCTCCCTCTGGGTCCTGGGAGGTGGGCCATAATTCAATTCAGCCAGCAGGTGGGGAAAGAGATTGTGAGGGCTTTGTGGGAGCTTTTCAAGGCATGGACCAGGAATTGAAGTCATCCCCTCTGCCGCTTCTTAACTGGGGACAGATCTGCTTGCTCTGTCCTCCCCGGCCACCCTTCCCAACACTCCAATGTCCAGTCCCCTTTCCAGGTTTCAGCTCTGGATTTAGTGCTCAGAGTTGGCTAAATCCCTAGTTTAACTGTTTTTAAGTAGCTTTATGCCCTCTTCCCTCCTCTCTGCCCTACTTTGTCCTGGAGCGGTGATGGAAAATGGGTTTTATCTTAACCTGCCAAGTCTGATCGCAGCTACTGGGGCTCTATGCCGTGAGAGGATTTTGAGGCTGTGCTGAGGTTTGGTGGCAAAGAGGACTGATGGCTTAGTGACGTCTGTCATGGACGCAGGACAGGAGTGTGGCTATGCATCGCCGTTCCCTTGCCATCCTTGGCATCGCGTATTGATCTGGCATCTCTGGCAGAATAGAATGCCCACATGGCCCTGGCTGCCCAGAGGCCTCTTTTGCGCTCTAGAGCCGGGACTGGAACCCATGACTCCCAGGCCAAGTTGGGTTCGCCCCCTATTTTTGTATGGCGCACAAGCAAAGAATATTTTTTACATCTTTAAATGACTGAAAAAAATTGAAATCATATTTCATTGAAATGAAAGTTATATGAAAGTCACGTTTCAGTGTTCATGAATGATGTTTTATTGGAACACAGCTATGCCACGTCACATTTATCTGTGGCTGCTTTCGCGCTGCAATGGCCAAGCTGCAACAGAGACCGTATGGCCCACAAAGCCAAAACGATTTACCGTCTGGCCTGTTATAGAGAGAGTCTTCCACACCTGCCTGGACGACTGGGGTTCCCAGAGGGGACTGAGCTGTAACAGTGAGGGCTGCTCCTCCTCTCTCAGCAGCCCCAAGAACAAATATCGAGTAGATGTGCCTCAAGGCAGACTGTCAAATAGATAGTGTTAGCAAGCCTTTCCACAGGATGAAATTTGTTTCAAAAAAAAAAAAGTCCCGAGTCAGAGGTCCTTCAAGGTCATTGCCTTGTATAAGCCATTACTCCTGGACTTAAATTAGAACTTGGTTGAATTGGCACATCCGTGGCCAAGCCCATGATATTACTCAGACTTTTTTCTTTTTAATAAATATTTCAAGAACGTTCTGGTAGAGTGGGAGTTCTGAACCCGGGTTCTATGAATCCCTGGAGGACCAAGGAGGAGAGGCGGGGAAGCAGTGGTGTGTGTTGGTAAACACTTAACAACCGGCTTTCCAGGGGAAAGGAGTGTCTGCCAATTTCTGTGGTGTAAATACTCTCAGCGTGGCCAACTTCAGGCCGCCGTGTGAAGTTCCCAAGCGTGGATTTGGGAAGAGATGTGCATAGTCGGCTCTTGAGCCCCTGTGCGCGCTCCAGCGCTCCGCTGCAGGGAGGCCACCAGGGCGGGGGCGGGTCCTAGTGGGCGGGCCCCACCCCTTATTTCTAATAGAGATTACTCCTCTAATCTTTTGCATTTGGGTTCGTTTGGGTTCCAGCTAAGATTTTATTTGACTTCTGAGTTCTATTGCTAATCATAGTATGAAAAAATAATAACTCAGATCTTGTGACCCCCCCCCCCAATATACACACACACGTACACCCCACACTACCAGCACAAAACTTGCCCTGGCTCCCCGTTCCCTGCAAAACAAAGCTGAGTTCTTTAGCAAGTCCTCCAAGGGGCATCAACAGCAACTCCACTCAGCTTCCCACTTCCCTCCTCACCTCTGATAACCATGGCAACAACAATTAATGACGGGCATTTACTGTGGGCCAGGAGCTGTGCTAAGCACTTCAAATGGATTGTCACGTCTTAAATCCTGAAACAACTCCTTGAGGAAGATGTGGTCATTATCCCCACTCTACAGATGAGAAAACTGAGGCTGCACCTGGCGGCCCCAGAACTTTTCCCCATTGCCAGGACATCTTGTGCACTTCCAGGGATCCCAGCGTGGCTCCTGCCACTTCTCTGCCTCCAGGGTCCATCTCTGACCGTGTCCGTGTGTCCGTGCCCAGCACAGGGCCTGGTGTTGAGTAAACATTGGGTAAACGATTGATGAAGGAGAAAACGGAAAAGGAAATAGATTTAATCAGGAACACAGCAGGATACAATAATTTAAGCAACAGTGGCCCATCTGCCCCTCACGGGAGCAGCTGTCGCCTGCCACATCAGATACCTCCGGGGGAAGTCTTGGGTACGTGCGGCACATGGGGAGACCTTTGGAATCATCTGTAAATGTCTACAAACTGCCCAAAATAAACTGGTTAATTGTTTCTTTAACTTGAACTGGCTTGATCCTTCCCTGAGAAAGTAAAACCATTCTTTTTTGTAGGCACGGAAGGACCTTCCTTAAAAAGAAAAGGAGAGTGGTTGCAAGTCCTTGAGGTTATTAATCATTGTCCTGTGTCTATAATCCTGTAAACTCTTTCAGGAAATGAGTTTGCAATGCCTTCGGACAATGGAGAATGTACTCGTGTGTGTGTATGTGTACGTATGTGTGTATGTATACGTTTGTTCTCTTCCCCAGGCTTGATCATGTTCACGGGCTGGCTGCAAGGGAAGCAGCTCCTCAGCATGTTCACGATTGGAGTCAGGTAAGGGCGCCGTGCCCACCCTCCCCTCGTCAGCGCAGCCAGAGGAGGGGGAGACTGAGGAGTAGGCCCGGCGTGGGCGGATGCAACCTCCTCCGCGTCTCCCAGTAGCACATTGTCTGACAGGCGGGGGGTGGGGGACCCGGCGAACGCCTGCAAAATGAATGAGAGCAGACAACAGGGAGTTCCGTCCCTGTCGCTCTCAGCCCATGGGTTTGGGTCTAGCCGGCCTGCCTAGGTTTAGATTCTGGCTTTGCTACTTACTAACTGTGTGACCTTGGGCAAGCTCCTTAGCTTTCTGTGCCTCAGTTTCCTCCTCTGTAGAATGGGAGTGATGAGACAGCCCCTCCTGCACCATGCTGAGGAGGAAATGAGTTAACACAGGCAGGTGCCCACAACAGTACACAGCGCACAGTGTGTGTTTGCTTTTTATTCATTTGGAACTCGTCCAGGTCTCCCTGTTTTACGGAGAGGGCTATAGGAGAGGACAAGGGACATGTCCCTGAGGCCACGTGGCCGATGGCAAGACTGGGAATCAGGGCCCTTGTCTTCAAGCCCAGGGAACCTGCCCTTGCTCCACATGGTGATTCTAATAAGCGACAGTCCCACCCCCAGTCCCAGTGGACGATAACAGTATGGGCGGGGGAGCCCAGCTCAGTGCGGTGGCATGACGTTGCTACGGCTTTTCCACCGCTGCTCACTGAAGTGAGGGGGGAGAGTGCCAGGGATTGTCACTAACTGGGTATGTCCCAGTGAAAGGGCGGCTGGTCACCCTTCCAGGACATGAAGGAGCCAACACATTTCTAGGCTCCTGTCAAACCCGGTGTTTTCAGAGGGTGACTCCCATGCTGGTGGTGTCTGCAAGATGGGTCAAGTGATACGTGGAAATTTATTTTAATGTCTGTGAGCAAAAATATATATACTGAGTACCGCGATGGAAACACACTTAGATGCCCATCGACTGATGAATGGATAAACAACATACAGTGGAATATTATTCAGCCACGAAAAAGGAATGAAGCACTGATACACGCTACAGCATGGATGAACCTCGAACACGTGATGTTGAGTGAAGGAAACCTGTCACAATGACCACGTATTATATGACTTCATTTACATGAAATTCCCAGCACAGGCACGTCCATAGAGACAGAAGGGAGATGAGTGGCTGCCAGGGGCTAGGAGTGGGGGATGGGGTGTGACCGCTAACAGTTACGGGGTTTCTTTTGGGGGTGATGAAAATGTTCTAAAATTGATTGTGGTGACGGTTGCGCAATTCTGCGTAAACGAAAAATCACGAAATTACATACTTTAAAAGGGTGAATTTTGGGGCCAGCCCTTTGGCCTAGTGGTTAAGTTCGGCACCCTCCACTTCAGCAGCCCAGGTTCAGTTCTCAGGCGTGGACCTACACCACTTGTTGGTGGCCATGCTGTGGTGGCAACCCACATATATAGTAGAGGAAGATTGGCACAGATATTCCTATGGGTGGATCTTCCTCAGCAAAAAAAAAGGGCGAATATTACGGCATGTGAATTATGTCTCAATTAAAAAAACAAAAGAAAACAGAGCAGGTTGTTAGGAATGCTGTGATGACAAGGATCCTTGGAGGCTCTCTACTTTATACATAAAAAGTAAACCGTTTGCAAACACCATGCTGTAACTGTCATTACAGTGAATTGCAGTCATGCACCTCACAATGGATCTGGGCGTCTAGCAGGTGCTGGGATACGAGGTCACGAGGTCATGGGTGCGGCTTCCCAGTGCTGACCAGTGTGGGCGAGACAGCCTTGCTTTCCGGGGTCGAGTGCACGTCTTGGGTACAGAGTCCTGTATAAATGAACGTACCCCGTTACGTGGCAGTCAGCAATAGGACAGATTCAAACACAGGTCTTTAGAAATTCCAGACAACCTGTTTTTCAATCCCACTGCACTGTGTGCATTACCTGAGGGGCAGGCCGGCAAAATCCACACGTGGGCTGGTGTATGTCCTATTACAGAAGTGTTCAATAGCTATTTTTTGAATGAATGGAAATTGGAAAAGTCTGTGTCTGGTTTAGACACTTTGCCATTCCTCAAGAAACAAAATCTCATTAACACCAAGTCCTGGGGGGAAGAATAAACACTTAAGAGAAAAATGAAGTTGGTTTAAAGAATATTATGCAATTAGAACACAGAAGGTACACACGTGGGACAAAAACCATAAAAGCAAAAGACAATGACAGACATTTGGAAAACCCCATCTCAGACTAATTCCAAAAAATAAAGTCCACCTCCTCCCTGAAAAAAAAAAGTCCTGCAATGAGACACACAGACGTTCAAACCACGTCAGAATATCTTAAAAAGATAGTTCTCAGTAGGAAACGAAAAGCTGCACTAACAGTTCCTTGTCTTTAGGTTTTAGCTTTAAATAATCTGTAAATAAATGGGTTAATACTAAGGTTTGGGCTCCCCCCAAAAGTCTTTGGAACCGTGAAAGTAAGGCCATTGTGCTGTACAGGCGGTCCTGCTGGATTTTGGGCTTTTTCCCTGAAACGTGCCTGTCTCATCTGTGCACTTTGCCAGTGGCCGTGAGGAAGGGCTTGTAAGCTCCAGATAATGGAGCCTGAGATGTCTTCTGAATGTACGAGGTCATGATCTCAAGTCAACTGGGGTTTCCTGACTTTATTCCCTCAGCTGGGTGCTATGAAGGGTATAGGAGAAAAAAGAAACCATCTTCACAGAGGTGAGCATGAGAGGGATCCAGTGAAAGTAACACAGCTAGGTCACGTGGCCAGTGCTGCAGACCCTTGCACAGAAGCATAAACATCCATCGAGAGCTCCGTGAAGACGGTTACGAGCCCAGGGCGGGAAGGACCATTCCCATGGATGTTGAAGTTGCCAAGATCGTGACACCAAGTGGAGAGAGTGCTAGAAAGTCGGTTCTAGAATCTTCAAGAAACTGAAGGGGGCATAACCAGGGGTCTCTTGATGCTGTGAGAAGAGGAGGGAGCATGAGCAGAACGTGTGACCCCAGTTCATCACTGCACAGCTCTGTGCGGTAGGTGGTCTCCATTTCACAGATGGGGAAACTGAGGTGTAGGCTCGCACACTTGCCCATAGTTACAGAATCAGGGGGTGGAAGAGACAGACTTCAGACCCACTGCATTCTGACCCAAAGCCAGCGTCCTCGTCAGTGCCCCTTGGGCATGGTAGGAACTCTCCCGAATGCCACCACTCCCACCCCCTACCCTCCCCCAGCCATCAGCAATGGCTGTTGATTTGCCCTACAGGTACTTGTTGGGTATCTGTTGACTATCTATTTGCATCATCCAGATGGAACTAGATCATGGAGTTTGCAGGCTAGTGGGGAGAGTAAATGTAAACAATTTTAGTGAACATGAATAAAATAATCACAATTTATAATCAATGCTACAAAGGAAGCAATTGCAGAGAGAGAGATGAAACGGGAGGTAGGAAGGGATGTGCCCTGAAAAGGTGGCCGGGGAAGCTGTCTCTGAGGAGTAGAAGCTGGAGAGATGAGAAGGCGCCAGCTAAGAGAAGAGCGGGCAGGCGCTCAGGCAGGGGAATGGCCCGGGCAAAGGCTTGGAGGTGGGCCTGGCATGGCGTGTCTGGGGGACGCCAGGGGGAGACTGGCTGGGCTCCGTGAGCAGGAGGAGATGGTGGAGTCAGTTAGGGGAGAGATCACAGGGAAGCTTCTGGGCTCCTTTCTCCCCCAATTCTAATCCTGTCATCAGAATCCTTCTCAACACGCCGTGCTAGGCCATCACTACTATTCTTTTGGAGCAGAGAGATGAAAAGTGTTGGCCATTCTTGACACAGAGACTGACGGCGATGGGAGGTGTGAACCCAGCTTGTTACAGACAAGAGGGAGGAGTGGGCAGCTGGCTGCGCTGGTGAAGGTGCAGTTGGAGGCGAGGGCAGGGCATCCTGGAAGCGTGGATCACCGCAGAGCAGGGGGTCTCGGACTAAAGCCTCAGAACTCAGGGGTCCCTGGGAAAGCTTGTTCAGCACCAAATTGCCGCTGCCCTGACTCAGTGTGGCTGGGTGGGGCCTGAGACTGCATCTCTAGCAAGCTCCCAGGGGATGCTGATGCTGCCTGATCAGGAAGCACGCTCTGAGCGATGAGGCTGTGACTAGAAACTACCCCCATCGGGGCTCCAGCAAGAGGCAGGAAGAGTGCTCAGGTGACACTTAGAGGCAGGTGTAGCGGCAGATGGACAGAGAAGTCTGAGCCTTGGGGGGCTCCTGGAAAAAGCAGAGCGCTCAGAAGCCATGATGCTTAAGAACCTCCCCGAAATAATGATGCGTTCCAGTCTCATAAACCATAGAAAGTTCTGTGAGCCAAAAAGACTATTAACTATTTCCAGGTAAATAACAAAAAAGGCTCCTGTGTCCACCCGTGCCCTCCCACCCCAGGGCTCTTTATTGGTCATTTCTGATTCCTCTTCTGAACATTCTGCTTCATCACATTCACCCCACTTGATCCAACATAAACTTGCAACTGAGGGAAAATTTACTGTGTTCGTTTCAGTTGACTTTGCAAGGATGAGGTTTTTCTGTTTTTAGCAGAATTAAAGTCACTCCAAACCACCGAATCAGAAGGTAGAAATGGTGGGATAGCCAGTCAGGAAGAGATTCTCCAAAATAAATAAAATGAGAATGGTTCTTTTAGAAACTTGATCCCAGTTCCCTCTGCCTGGAGTGACGTTCAAGATGATCCAAGGTATACTTGCTTTTCCCGGTCCACTCTAATCTTTATTGGTTTGTGGATTAATTTTTTATGATGATGAAAGCATCCAGGTACATGCAGAACTGCCCTCGCCACACCGTGTGGGGGGAAAGTCCCCATCATAACGCTCTGCAAATGTTTGCTTAGCTGGTCTCCTCCGCCTGCACCATAAAACCAAGGAAGCCTCCTTGCTGTCACCATAGAAACCAGGCACAGTCCCTCGACCAAATTCAATAATCTTGGTTTATATAACTTGTTCCTAAGTGCTCCCTTGTCTCTGGGTGAAAGGCCGCATTCACATGCTGTATTTCTTTGATGCTAAGATGCCTGTTCTTTTTCACGTTGTAACTTCTCTGAGGTCGGACTGCTTCTTACAAGTGATGTGCTGAGGAAGCACTGTGTCATTGAGTGGTTGGTAGTATTTTTGTTTCCTAGTGGTGCACAAGACTCTGGTGCAGTGTCTTCGATTTGATGAACTGTGATAGCCGTGTGTGACTTTGGGTGCCTGGGCATCCTCAGCCAGCCCTTCTGAGTATGAACAGCCCGTGTCGAGTGCTCACTGTGTGCTGGGCCAGCTTGGGTCTCAGCACTTACTGTATATTCACTCATTCTTATTTGTTCGTTCGGTAAATATTTACCAAATGCCTGCAGGGCTCTGTGGGATGTTCTAGAGCAGAGGGTGAGCCGTGCTGGGGTGTGGCGTGGGGACGTTCACAGCGCGGCTTTGCACAAAAGCCCCTCTCGCTCGCTCCAGTCTTCCCCCCAACCCTTCAGCCTCCCCCCCTGGCCTGAGGTCAGTGGAAAGTCCTGAACCAGCCGCCCGCCTCAGCCAGGCCTTCTCAGGAGTGTGGAGTGGGGGATCAGTCAGCTCCAATGTTCTGGAGCGAGAATTGAGGCAGAAAGAGTCCCCTCTTAACAGCCTGTCACGTGTTGACACACCGTCCAGGAAGCGGATATGTGTGCTCAAGCCCAATTCAGATTCCAGAGAGAGAAGCTCATTGGTTCAGCCTGAGTCACATACTCTCCTCTAATCCAATCAGCCGTGGCTATGGGAGGGTGGGGTCACATGGTACAGAGAGAGTCAGAGGGATAATAAAGAAGTGGGCAGACACCCAAAACAGATCTGCTACAACGGGCAGAGGCAGAGCTATGTCACTTCACCTCCTTTAACTTTCATTTCCTTGTCTGGCTTCCTTACGGGAAGTGTCTAAACCATTAGACCAGTGAACAGTGAAATTCAAGGGACCCAGGGAGGACCCTCTGAACCAAAACATTCCACTTCCCACTTATTGCCTGATTCTGGACATTCCTTTCATAGGGCCCAAGACTTTTCTCTCTAATAAGTGAGAACAATTTAAATGCAAAAGCACTTAAAGAGACAAAACAACTGACAGACTAATTCACACTAAAGAGTGGATGTCTGATAGGGGAGCTTCCCTCCCAAGAGCAAGGTTTTGTAGGGAGAGAGCTCAAAGCAATGGATCCTGAAGGAGGAGGCAGATGCACCATGGCATTGGAACAGAGAATAGAATGGGGACACCAGAGACAAGCTTCACCAGGTACAAGTGCTGCCAGCCCAGTCAGGATTCACGTCATCCTTAAGTGAGTGTTAAAGGTGCCCTGTCTGGCCTTTTGATCCAGCCTGGCCGTGGCCACCATTCCAGAGGGTCTGCCCATCGTTGTTATGGTTACGCTGGTCCTGGGAGTGCTGCGGATGGCCAAGAAGCGGGTCATTGTGAAGAAGTTACCAATCGTGGAAACCTTAGGTGAGCGACTCCGCTGGTGGAATTCTTATAAAGTGGATTGAATGGGTGTTTTGGTGCCGTGTTAATTCAGCTGGGTGTTTCGTAAGCCTGTGAGTTGGTGGTGACGACTTTTTCCTATAAACTCTGATGTTCTCCCTGCCAGGCTGCTGCAGTGTCATCTGTTCTGATAAGACAGGGACTCTGACTGCCAATGAGATGACTGTCACCCAACTTGTAACGTCTGACGGGCTTCACGCCGAGGTGAGCGCCATGCGATTTACAAGGTTCGAGACAAAGGTATGCCCTGCCAGATCCTTTCCTTCCCAGAGAAAGCAATGGAGTCTTCTAGAAAATAATAAGGAAGAAACAAATATGAGTTATTGGGAAATCTCCTTGCCACAAATAGCAGCAAGGAACGTGACTGATTTAGGCCGGCCATCTTTTTTTTTTTATTGTCTTTTAATAATAAGCACATCATAACGTTTAGAAGCTGGAAAACAATTACCCATAACCTCCCACGATAAACTAACCATGGTCAGTCCATTTGTGTTTTTTGGTCTCTCTCCTGTGCATTTGGCACAGTTGTAAGCTCCCTGAGCGTGCAGTTTTGTATCCTGCTGTTTTTTTCACAAAATTTCCAGACCAAGGAGTCAACAGTGGTAGCCCGTGGGCCAGCACATATTTTTGTAAATAAAGTTTTATTGGCACGCTGCCACACCCTTTGTTTGCATGTCGGTTCCTTTCTTGCCACAATGGCAGAGTTGACTAGTTGCAACAGAGATTGCACAGGCTGCAAAGGCTAAAGTATTTGCTATCTGGCTCTATAAGAAAAAGTTTGACCACCCCTGTTCTAGAACATAAGCACTCTTCTAGGCTATGACTTAGTTTTCGTAACCATGAGTTTTACTGGCTGCAAAAGAGCCCGTTGCAGTTTGCTGAAGCGTGGCACTTGCTGGGTGAGGTGTTCTGATCGGGACATAATCCTGCGGGGGAGCTCTTCCGGCTCGAAGCCTTGCTGGTGGGTAGGAGTATGTCTTTGCGATGGGTCCCCAGAGAAGAGACTATGGGTCAACGGGGGAACAGATTTTTGACTCTTGGTGACCTCCCTTCTGCGGCTTTGCCCCGCAGGTCAGCGGAGTCGGGTACGACGGCAAAGGGACGGTCTGTCTTTCACCATCAAAGGAAGTCCTCAAGGAGTTTGCCAACGTCTCGGTGGGGAAGTTGGTGGAGGTAAGTGTCACAAGTGTCACGGTGGAAATACGCATTTAAAACAGAGCTGCTGGGGATTCTCTCTGGAAAGAGAAACAGCAGTTGGACCAACTGGTTCTTGCTGACGACAGGGCCACACCAGAGGTCAGGTTGTCACAGTGGCCCAGAAACAGATGGCAGTATCAGACGGAAGAGAAGAGCTAGAACTGTTCGTGCTCCTCCCTGCCTGCTGGAAGGGCTTTCCAGAAACGCCTGCACAGAGAAGGTGCTCATGGGTGTAGGGAAATAAGCACGTGGCAAACGTTGCCCCTTGTTATTGTTAATAGATGTGGCATTAGCCATACTCATCCTTTCATAGAAGCTCCTTTCTGCTCCCCACGCAGCGGGTGCCCTCCATGAAGTCTGAACCCAGCCCTCATCTTCTGTGATTTTTAATGAGCCTGTGAACATCCCAGCTGCAGGGGCCCACTTAATTACCACAGCAATGCTGTTATCTCAGCTGTGCAGATTAAGAAACTAGGCTCAGAGAAGTGGTACCAGAGATGCCCAGCCGGTGACAGAGGGAGCTGGAATTCACCTCCAGGCTCTTTTCCTGTGTCTTTTTCTCCTTTTCTTTTCCTAATTATTATTTTTAATTGAGGTATAAGTCATATACCACAGAATTCACCCTTTTAAAGCGTGCAGTTCAGTGGTTTTTGGTATATGCACAAAGTTGTGCAACCATCACCACTATCCAATTCCAGGACACGTCGTCACCCTAAGCAGACACCATACCCACAGGCAGTCACTCGCCCTCACCCCACACTCGTAACCACCGGTCTACCTGCCTTCCCGCTCTGTCACCTTACAACAGCGTCGTGACAACCAGCATTCAGCAGAGTCAATAAATATTTATCGTGTTTATTTTGAAGAGCAGGAGCTTTGATGTATTTTGAAGAGTAAATCTTGTCCTTCACCCCCACCCCAGCCCCAGCCCCCAAAGTGGGTCCAGCCTTCCATGTCTGACTTTTTCACATGCCCGAGTGAGCCCAAGACCCCAACGGGGCCAGCTCCGAATATTAACTAAGACATTGGAAATCGTCCTTCCAGGCAGGCTGTGTCGCCAACAACGCCATCGTCAGAAGAAACACCGTAATGGGACAGCCCACGGAAGGCGCCTTGATTGCCCTCGCAATGAAGGTGGGGAATCGCAGATGGTCTGTGCTGGGAGTTCTTCCACTCAGAGCAGGATTAGTAGCAGAATTCAAGCTCCTGTCTGAGCAAATGAGGAATGGGGAAGCTTAGCAATAATGGGGGAAAATGGCCCCAGACATCCTAAGGCCGTCCGCTGACAGGTGGAGGAGATGGGCTCTGAGATGCTATGTGGTTCCAGAACATTCTGCCAGTCTCTAACCCCTTTCTGGCGATTCCATAAGAATCCTCTGGGCTCTCCCATGGCTCAGACCCCCTGGAGGCATTGGGGAGACAGACAGAGGAACAGGACCCACCTGTGGGCCCCTCAACATAGGTCCCGCCCTCACCGAGCCCCATCCAGGAGATGTCCTTCCTTTTAATATTTCAATGGGTTCTGGGGCTCAGCGGTTAGACCCTGAGCTCTGGGACTACGCAGAGATGCTCCCTGCCCTGTGCCCAGTGCCAGGTGCAGAGCGGCTGCTCACAGGTGTTGGAGGATGGGCGGCCAGTCAATGGCCGTGCCTGCTCTGCTGTGTGCAGAGGGGACAAGTTCACAGAAGAGGCAGAAAAAAGAGCCGCTCTGCTCAGCTGCCTCTTGCTGCCTCCTGTGCCATGACCCTTCAGCTGTCCTTCCTCTCACAGCTTTCTCGGACTTTCTCTTCAATTCACTTAAGTTTCCACCTCTGTAGCTGCCTTTGCTCACCCAGGCACCCTGGGCTGGCTTCATGCACTGTCCTGTGTCCATCTGTTCATCTGTCCCTCCCCTGGCATGGGACCCGGGCCCCCTCATCGCTGCCTTCTGCCCACATCACAGCCCAGAACAGGGCGAAATCCCAGGAACCCGGGCTGGGTGGGCGGATGAGTGGAGAGGAGAGTTACCCTTTTAATAAGTCCTTGCAAAGATAGACGAGGGCCTTTAAGAAATTGTTATGCCATATTCTTTTCCTTCCACTCACGGAAGAAAATTCTCTCCAGAACATCAGTAATACCGAATGGAACTTATGGCCCCCTTCACAACAGTGCTGGGCCAGCCCCACTCCCAGATCCCAACTGCCCAACAGGGAAGGGACAGCTGGCCTGTCTGTCACAGCAGGAACGAAATGCTAGTGTCCAGTCCCCGCCTTGCTCGCGCCCGCCCATGCAGCCTCGAGAGCACAGTTTCCAGACCCTCTTTCCTTTACGTCTTAAGGTTTTACTCTTTCATAGGTCTGAACTATTTGGGGGACCTGCTTTGGGATTTTAGAATATACCCTACAAGGACACCGGTCCACGGGGCTGGCCCCGTGGCTTAGCGGTTAAGTGCGCGCGCCCCGCTGCTGGCGGCCCGGGTTCGGATCCCGGGCGCACACCGACGCACCGCTTCTCCGGCCATGCTGAGGCCGCGTCCCACATACAGCAACTAGAAGGATGTGCAACTACAACATACAACTATCTACTGGGGCTTTGGGGGAAAAAATAAAATAAAATAACTGAAAAAAAAAAAAGGACACCAGTCCTATTGGATTAGGCTCTAGTAACCTCGTCTGAATGTCATTACACCTCCAAAGGCCCTACTTCCAAATACAATCCCATTCACAGGTACTGGGAGTTAGGACTTCAGCACACCTTTTGGAGGGACACAGTGTAACCCATAACACCCTCCTAAGGAGCCTGTTTAGAGATCTTTTTCCTAATCACTCCTCCCGTGAGATTGTAATGCCACAGATATACAGTATATCTGTTCGTGTACTGCATGCATATCTGTGCTTTATGTGTAAAGGGAGTAGATATTTTCGCCCCCTAAGAATCTATTTTCACCCCTGGGGGGCAGTGGGATACACAGGTTAAGCCTGGTTTACAGTTGGGGAAACTGAGGCTCGGAGATGTCAAGTAACTGGCCTGAAAGAGCAAATGAATGTCAGGCTGGCAAGGCCCCCAGGCTGTGACAGCAGGCCACCCCACCAACCCAGGGGCTCCTTTTTGGGAAATTGCTACATCCTCAAGTCTGAAACATTCCTCCTGGCGGAAACCCCACAGGCTCTTGTTTCCGAGCAGGTTTCAGCCAGAAGCTGTTGTAGAGACCATCTGGTTCTACCCCTGAGATGAGAGAAAAGAGACATTTTTACATTTTTTCTGGATGGGACGTTTGAAAACAAATGGCCTTTTTCTATGAGCTAAATGCTCACATTTCTTATCTTCCCCGAGATCGTTTAAATAATGAAGCATTTAAATGGACTGACTTTGCATAAATTTGGTTTAGGATGATTCACTAAAAGTGTCCCAATTTATCATCCCAGATGGACTTAAGTGATATTAAAGATTCATACGTGAGAAAAAAAGAGATCCCATTCAGTTCGGAGCAGAAGTGGATGGCAGTAAAATGCAGCCCCAAGAATGAGGTGAGTTGGCCTCTCTGCCCCTCCTTTCCCTTGCTGCCCCCCGCCCAATAAAGCAGGATGCAGACTTTAAGACGAGTTTAGAGTTCCCGGCCACTTCTCCGAGGGTCCAAATACATGACCATACAGTCAATAGCGATTAAACCTGTGATTGTCTTGGGTCCTCTCCTGAGATTTTCATCTGAATCACTGGTTCTCAAAGTGGGGTCCCTGGACCAGCAGCATCAGCAGCACCAGGAATTTGTTAGGAATGCAGATTCTCAGGCTCTGCCCCAGAACTCCTGAGCCAGAAATTCCAGGGGTGGGACCCAGTGATCTGTGTCTGCTGGGGGTTCTGAGGCACGCTCCAGCGTGAGACTCACTGGCCTATAATGTAATTATTGAGTAATTACTACCGAGCAACTGGGTGCTCCGACTGACATCCACCCCCACCGCTGGCTTGGGAGTCCTGTCCTCCACCCCCGGGCTGAGCCCTTTACACATCTGAGCTCATTAACTGTCACGGTGGGGGACAAGCCTTCATTCCTCAAGGGGGAGCAGGAGGCGCATCCCAGCATCCACCACAAACGGTGTGAACAGTGAGCTCACGTGTACACACTCACACACGGATACACGTGTGCTCATGTTACAAGTGACTAGAGGAATATCTGCCCAACTAGTAATGGGTATCCCCTGGGTGGGAATTACAGCTGACTTTTTGTCCTTTTTTTTCTTTTAATTTTTTGTAGCTTTTCAGATTTTCTACAATGAAGAAAAGTGTTGTTTTTTTTTTTTAGAAAAAGAGTTTTTTATTGCCTTCCACCTTTTTCTCCACCTTTCCCTTCTCTCCCACGCTTTCTGGAATCTCTCACGTCTTGTCCATGCTGAGATTTCTCACCTCCTTCAGGGCAGTGGGCGCTCAGCCAGTTTATTCCAGGTCGTTGCCGTGAGTGGATCGGCATACAAATTCTGGGTGCTTAAAGGGGTTACGACTTTTTTAAAATGTTTTAATACCTTCAAATCTTCTTTTCCCCCAAAGGCAGTGGTAATATACTCTCATTGAAAAAATTATAGAAATGTGATTTAAAAGGTGGAAGCTCCTTGTAATTCTGCCCCCTTCTTTCCCTACCCACCCTGCACCCTTCGCAGTCTAGGAGAAAGCCTTCCAGATTCTAAATGTGTGCATAGCAACACGTGGGCTGGGAGTTTGACAACAAGATCATGCTGTATATAGTGTTTGCAGTTTGCTCTTTTCCCTTAAAATGGTGTCTTGGACATCCCTTCGTGTCAGTCCACACAAGCTCATTCACTGCCCACCGTGAGCAGGCAGGTGCTAGGCTGGTGCTGGGGATACAGTATGACCCACAGCACCTGCTGCTGAGTCGAGGGGACAGAGCTTAACGATACACAGGAAAACAGCTACTCATTGGGGGTCATTCTCATGAGCCAAGTGCAGGGCGAACAAAATAGAAACGGCACCTGCCCTCGGGAGGCAACAGTCTACCCAAAATAGACATCTAGCAATCAATCACATACCTAAAGGCATGACACCAGCTGAGATGTGACCAAATAATGAAACATACAGGATGCTCATGCTCTGAGCAACATTAACAAGGGGACCTAATGTAGAGCAGGGGAGACGTGGGTCAAAGATTGACCTCATTCCTTTTATGGGCTGTGTAGTATTCCGTTGTGTGGATCTCCTGTAACTTATCTAACCTGTCCTGTATTGGTGAAGGATGATGATCCACTATAAACCCCTCCGTGAACATCTCTGTGTGGATGAGGTGACAGTCACCAAGAGCTGAAGCATCCAATGACAGCAGATTTTTTTCCTTTTGTCTTTTTCAAGGAGCAGGAAGACATTTACTTCATGAAGGGGGCCTTTGAAGAAGTGATCCGTTACTGTACCATGTACAACAATGGGGGCATCCCCCTGCCCCTGACGCCCCAGCAGAGAGCCTTCTGGCAGCAGGAGGAGAAGAGGATGGGGTTGCTCGGCCTGCGGGGTGAGTGCCTGTGGCTCAGGCCCCGAGCTTTCAGTTTGGACATGATATTGAATTTTTGAGCACATTAATGTCATTAGTCAATGAGGTGACTGATCAGCATGGCAGGCAGGCGGTGTGCTAACAGAGGTAAAGCAAGCATAGAATTCATGGTCAGATGAAAGATAGCCCCCACCCCATCCCAGCCCCGCAGTGACACCTGTTAATCCAGATGTGTCTCGTGTGCAAGAAGGGTTGGAACCCTCACCCCTGAGTCTTCTAAAACAGGTGAATGGATGCACCAGAAACATCGATTTTCCTGATTGGGCTTCTTGCTCGTCGCTTATTGTCAGGAAAACCCAGAACACTTTTAAATCAAGGCAGACGTCTCATTCTCAGGCCATTTCCAACTTTCTGCACCAGGGCCAGCGCCTTCCCTAGTGGGCTGAACGTTAGACTCACGCTTCCCGCGGCGGCGTTTGTCAGCCTGCCGTTTTTCAGAGAAAGTGTTTAAAGACACTCTGGAACACTCATTTTCCCCCGGGGAAAATGAGGAGCATTGGGCTTGCCGTCTTGGTTCCAACCCTGTGGTTCCCCTTCAAGGAGCAGGAGTGACAAGTGGCCGGCAGCTCGCCGACGGCTGTGCTGGGCGAGGACATTGTGGCCGCCGGGCCAAGGCCGGGCCATTTGTTGTCCCTTCCTGAGTGAGGGGCGTGTCCCCCCCAAGCAGAGGCCTTTACACATCTCAGGGTCCCCCAGATGGTTTGTGCGGTGCCAAGTTACAGCAGGCCTGTGGGTGAGGGCTGTGCCTCAGTTTCCTCCTCTGGAAAAGGCAGGCATGGGAGCAGGTGCTGTGGGGTGAGTCAGTGGAGGAGGGGGCTCGGAAGAGAACGAGCGCGTCTCTGGCTGGTCTTACGATTGATGTGAACGAGCTGTGGAGTAGCTACGCATCTGCTCACGTCGTCCGTCTCCTAACACTGACCCGCACCACTGAAGACCCTCTAAGTCCTCTCCTGCTCCTGGCGCTTCCCGGCATTTGGGCACCACATCACATGCCCAACTGAGACCATGCCCCAAATCCCCACCGAGCTGCTGCAAGGCCCAGAGAGGCTGAGGAATCAGCCCGAGTCACACAGCTAGTCTGTAGTGGACCAGCGCTTAAACCAGACCTGTCTGGCTGCAAAGCATTGGAACCCTGAGACCCATTCTGGGCCTCGAAGGAGAACATAATGAGGGTTGGTCAGTCGTGAAGATGGGACGAGACTCCACCTCCATCACCAGCCAAGCCGTAGATCCTTGCGTGGTTATGAATGGATCGTCGCCAAGCTGCGGCCGGAAAAGTGCGTCCTGGTGACTGGAGTCAGAAATCCGTGCCCACAGCAGAGTGGGGGGCAGAGGGAATGTTATTCATCTCCCAGCAAGTGTGAACTGAGCACCTACTATGTGCTAGGCACAGAGAAGCTCCAGGGTGACTGAGAGATGCCCCCGCACCAGTGGGAGCCCTGGAAGAGGTGTGGGCTTGCAGACACCAGCCCCCGAGAAAGATGATAGCCCCACGGAGTGACCCGGAGAGTCAGGGTGACAGGAGCCCAGAGGCAGGGATGGGGTCTTCTGGGGACAGAGAGTTTGCAGACACTTTCCAGGAGTGAGGGGACAGTCGTGATGGGTCTTCAAGGATTTGCAGACCCAGAGGCAGGGTGGGGAGGGGAACCTGGGAACGGAGAGGAATGGCACCCACACCAATGGCACACGGCACCCGCGCCAGTGGCATGGGACACCTGGATCATTGGCACACAGCACCTGCATTATTGGCATGGGACACCGGGATCATTGGCACACAGCACCTGCATTATTGGCACAGGACACCTGGATCATTGGCACGGTGTTATGACAGAGCAGGAGGGAGGCACAGCTGGAGGCTTCTTGGCCACAGCCCCCCTCTGCTGTCGTAAGGTGACAAAGTCAGGTCAGTTGTCATCCCACCCCCTCTCAGGGCACTCGCCTCTGGGAGCCGGACCCGGCTTTGTGCCACTGAACCAGAGTCCAGGCCAAGAGGAGCCAACAGACAGAGTCCTCTCCCCTGTGTTGCCCTCCCGCACATTTCTCGTGACCTTTGGTAGCTGCTGGAGGTGACAAATGAGTGAGCACAGAGCAAGTGAAGGACAGGAGAGCCGCCAGGAATGTCCCATCGGATGCCACCTCACAGGTTTTCTCGTGGCCACTTTTGCTGGGGTGGGCTGGGATTTTATGCCACCAGTGGACGCAAGTCCTCTTTTCTGCTGGGCCAGTCATCTAGCGTTTCTCTCTCTCAGGAGAGCCACCAAGAGCCCTGCCCTCCCAGGCTGACGACCAGGGGAGAGACTCTCACCATCCCTCTGTAGTCCAGGAGCTGGGCGCCCAAGCCCATCAGACAGAAGAGGGTCTGGGACGTGGTGGGGGCCGGGGCTGACCGGCGACTAAAATCCATCCCCTCAGCCCCCAGTGAACCTTCCGGGGATCTTGGTGTTTCCTCAGTGCTTGCCCTGGCTTCTGGGCCCGAGCTGGGGAGGTTGACGTTCCTGGGTCTCGTCGGAATCATCGACCCGCCGAGGGCTGGCGTGAAGGAAGCTGTCCAGGTGCTCTCTGAATCAGGCGTGTCCGTGAAAATGATCACGGGAGATGCTCTGGAGACAGCCTTGGCCATAGGTAACTGGGGAGCAGGGTTGAGGTTGAGGAGGAAAGGGATCTGCCCATCCTTTACAGCAGGGTCACTACCATTGGTTAATCCTTGAGATGAACACCTGCTTCCAAGTGCTTAGAACAGTCTGCGATTCATGGACCAGTGCTCCACCTTTGAAGGTGTTTGTCTCTAAAATGTTGGCAGGTTCTCCAAAAGGGGAAAAGACCTCGTGTGTACGAGAACCTACTATATTCCAGGGGCTCTTCGTCCATGATCCCACTTTATCCTCACAGGCAGCATCATTCCCTGTGTACAGTTCCAGTCTGCCTTCTGCTGCTAGCTGTGTGCCCTTGGCAAATTGTTGAACCACTCTGACCCTCAGACTCTTTATCAGCAGAGGGCTAGCAGCCCTCCTCCTCCTAGTCTATTTATTACTGCTGTGAGGGTTGTCACACCTTGGTCTTCTTGCCCCTCTGTCTTGAGGCAGCCTGGCACTGAGAAAAGAGCCAGATTCTGGAATCAGACAGAACCATGTCAGGTTCCAGGATTACCACTTACCAGCTCCATGACCTTGGGGAAGTCACTTTCCCCTCAGTTTCCTGATCTTTAAAGTGGGGATAAGAAGGCCTCTGTTGCAGCTTCATTCTGTAGCTGGAATTCCATCATGTAACGTGGCGGGTGCTCAGGACGTGGTCGCCATCGTGGTTTATTGTGATTCTCTGCGGCCAAGGCAGAGGCTGAGGTCAGGTGGGTGGAGCGAGGGGCAGCCCTCAGGACGGATTCTCCCTACCCTGCAGGAAGGAACATCGGCCTGTGCAACGGGCAGCTGAGAGCCATGTCCGGGGAGGAGGTGGAGAGCATGGAGCAGGACGAGCTGGCTGAGCGTGTGGGGAAGGTGGGGTCCTCCCGGGGGCTCCGGCAGAGGGGGCCGGCTTCCAGCTCCGCGTGCGCTGACTCGGCTCTCTCGTATCTCTGTGTGCAGGTGTCTGTCTTCTTCAGGACCAGCCCGAAGCACAAGCTCAAGATCATAAAGGTACACTGTCCCTCGTTTGTCCCTCAGGGTACAGGCCAGGGTGGCCGTGTCAGCGGCTCTGCTCCACGGGGTGGTCCAGGGCCCCAGCTGGTGGGAGCCTCGGCATCCTCAAGCTGTGGCTTCCTTCTGTGGGTCCAGGGTGGCTGCACCGGGAGGGACTTTTCGCAGCCTCTGGGGAGGGGAGGACTGGGGGCCCTTTGCCACGTACACCGAAAACGGGGAGCGGGAATTGGGTGGTGCAAAGGGAAGACTAAAAAGGGGGTTGGCCTCCGTGAGTCGAGTGCTCTTCAGTGTATTCTTGCTGTTAACTCCAAGCTTTAGTTTAGCTAAGTCAGAAGGTTGACCAGAGGATTAAACGAAGCCAGGCCCATGGAGCTCTCGGCACAGAGCCTGGCACACAGCAGGCGCCAAATAAAAAACATGTGATTTTCTGACTGTGCATGAAAAAATGAAAGTGCTCGACTGAGAGTCCAGCCATGTGCTTGGTTTCCCCGCACACGCGCACTTTGAAAAGGGTCTGTTTAACTCTCCTGGTAGTTGAGTTTTTTCTTTTATGTTATTTTTGGGTTTTTTAGTTCTGCAGACTAAATTTCTGTGCAAGTTATTCCTCAAAGAAAGTATTAATGCTTACTGGGCACCGCATGGTGTGAGGGGATGACTGTGGATGATTTGGTGTTCATGGTGATGGACAACACATGCCAGCACACCCGTGGTCTTAGTTTAGGCCTCACAACACAGCCCTGAGCAGGAGGGACTGTTGCTCCCACTTTGCAGATGGAGAAACTGAGGTCGAGAGGTTCCAGGCAGGCCCGGTTCCCAGAGCTGGGGCCGGTGGAGCTGGGATTCAGCCCCGGGCCAGCCAACTCCAGTGTCCTCCAGAGAGGGGTCTCTGCTGTCAGCCACGCAGTGTGAGAGGCGGGGCGGCGGGAGGGAAGGAAGGATCTAGAACGAAGGTCCTCAGGCTGCAGGCCTCCACTCGCCTCCTCTTTCCAAAGGCTTTGCAGGAGTCGGGGGCGATCGTGGCCATGACGGGGGATGGGGTGAACGACGCGGTGGCCCTGAAGTCAGCAGACATCGGGATCGCCATGGGGCAGACAGGGACGGACGTGAGCAAAGAGGCCGCCAACATGATCCTGGTGGACGATGACTTCTCAACCGTCATGTAAGTTGCTCTTTAGGGTTTTTTTAGTGGCGGAAATGCCTGGAGTAACCAGCTGCCCCCTGGGATCTGCTGTGCTGGAAACACGAGGTGTCCCCAGGCCCACACAGCACTTAAAGCAGGGTCATGGGGCCACCCTGGGGCTGGAGGCACGTGGCACCCAGAGGAGTGTCACAGACGTGCATTTCAGGCACCGACGGAACAGCCTGGGTCAGACATGCAGAAGAGGCACGTGCCCGCGTGTGAGCCGCAGCACTGGGTATGGGCGAGTCCTAGAGCACCCTCAGTGCCGACAGCAAGAGGCCAGCCGTTAAAAATCATGTTTTGAAGAACATTTCAATGAGAGAAATGCTCACACTGTAGTGTTAAGTGAAAAAAGCTAAAAATTAATATAGTCAGTTTGAGTCAAGTGTTGTGTTTGTGTCAATATGTACATTTCACGCATTGAAAGAGATTGGACAGAAATGTCCAAATCATTAACACAGGTGTGATCTCTAGGGTCTGGGGTTCCAAAAACACCTATTTTCTCCTGTTTCTCTTTTCTGTATTTTTCTCTTAATAAATTTACATTTCCTCTAGTTCTACTTTAATTCTTATTTTAATTAGTTCTAATTAAGACTTTACTCATAAGTAAGTCACAGCAATTGGGGGTGGGAGAAAATTTTTCTTAAGCCTATATCAAAAATCTGAACCAATATTGAAGTTCGGCATGATTATTGACTTTAGAAAAGGCATTTTTTCTTTACGAATGGCTTCACCATAGGAATCCTTAAAACACGTCCTCCTGAGTAGAAGAAAAACATGCAGTTAATATATAGCTCTTCAGTTTTAGCTCTTTTGCAAAATTTTTTAGTAAAACAGGGGAGGAATTAGTTTTCTACATTAGTGACTCAAGATAAGTTTTTTAAAGGACTTTTGCAGAAAGCATTCCAAAAATATAATACATGATGTTTTCAGTCTCCTAATTCTCTCCCTTCTTGCCGAGCCCCTGGGTCTACCAGGTTTAATGGGTCTTGCTGGGCCTCTTGTTGTGGGTGACCCACCCAGGTGCCTCAGGCCCTTTAGGAGGCCTGGGCGGGGACTGGGCCCTGGGCTTGGACGAGAGGGTAACTTACAGTCTTTGGACAGAAGGGTCATCATGGCTCAGGGACCCATCCCCAGCGGCTGACGGCACTTGTTAGGACATCATCATCCTCTACCAGTGTGTCCCCAAGAATGCCAGCAAGGGGGGCCGGGAGGGAGGGGTCAAGCATGTCACCTCTGGGCGACACCACGACTTCCTTCAGCAGCTGAGGGAGCCGACAACCTTTCCCCCAGGCCCTTGTTGTGACAAAGGCGCCCTCCTCTTGCAGGAACGCGGTGGAGGAAGGCAGGGGGATTCTCCATAACATCAAGAACTTCGTCCACTTTCAGCTGAGCACGTAAGCCGAGCATCCCCGGGGCTGCCGAGAGCTGCGCCAGCATCTGGCAAGCAGCCGTTGACGCTGCCGGCTCTGCCGCTGTGCCCCACAGGAGCATCTCGGCCTTGAGCCTCGTCACTCTGTCCACCGTGTGCAACCTGCCCAACCCCCTCAACGCCATGCAGATCCTGTGGATCAACATCATCATGGACGGGCCACCCGCCCAGAGGTGAGGTGCCGGCTGGCCGGGAGCACCGTGCCGCTTCTGCCAGGCTTCGCTGACTGTACCCATACTATGTGCAGGGGCCCAGAGGTGGGCAAACACAGTCACTGGCTGTAAAGAGTCCCAGAAAACTTAAGTGTGGTGCATTGGGTTGGGGGGAGGGAGACAGAGTGGAATGCACTGGGCACTGGAGGAAGCACCTAGAAAGGCAGGGCCAGGGGGACGACAGAACCGTCTGCACCCCAAGCCTGGAATGCTCTCCCTGGGCTACCTGCATGGCCCGGTCCCTCTCTTCATTCAGCTCACTGCCTCCGAGAAGTCCTCCCTGATTACTCTAACAGCAGCCTCCTCACTCTTAGTCACCTTACCCTGCTTTATTTTTCCCTGGAGGGGAAAATATACATATATTTCCTTATTTATCTGACTATAATCCATCTCCCCTTTAGAATTTCAGCTTCACGGAGGCAAGGTTTTTGTTTTGTTCTCTGCAGAATCCCTGGCTCCTACAACTGTGCCTGGCCCATAGGTGCTCGGTAAATTATTGGCTGAATGAATGAATGAGAAGGGAATGTGGGGCTGGCTGAATGATGCAGGAGAAAGAAGGAACTTTTGAGTCAGGGAGACCTGCAGGAGACCCAGCCAGACCCCCACTGGGTTAGAGTGCATAGAGGTGTTGTTTCACGTGTAGTGGTCTGTTTTTACCGTGAATAATTTAACCTTCACTGTGACAGCTGCCAAGGAAGGAGGGTCCTCCTTTAGTCCCCCCAGGCTCAGTGGGAGGGTTACCTCTTCTACGCGCTCCCCCTGGGCACGGGGCCGCAGCCGTGTTGGCACAGAGTGGGGTCCCCTCCCAGCCTGCTCCCTCCCTGGTGACACCCGCACTCTCTGCTGTGGATCCAGCACCAAGCCCGCTGTTTCAGAGTCTGCTGAAGGCGGGTGTCCCTCAGTCAATGGGGGGCTCTGTGGTGGGCAAGGCCTGGATCCCGTTTCTCCCCATCAGCTGGGACGAGGCCAGGCCCAGCCTTGGGGCGGGTGGGGGGGCCCTCATGGTGATGGAAATTGCCTGAGCATGAGGAATGGCTGGGCGTGGTTCCAGGACCACGGTCTGGTCAGCCACGCATTGGTTTTCCATCACCATGTTGGGGACGGATGGAGATGGGCAGGTGCGACGGTGGACGGCTGCCCACGGGGTCCAGGGCACCCCGGAAGCAGCTGAGGGGCTGGGCGGTTAGGGAGAGCTCAGAGGATGTGAGGAGGGAGGGGCAGGCATCCAGCGAGGATGGGAGGTCCCCGTGAGACGGGAAACACCCGGGCTCAGGCAGGACACCTGGAGGCGTTTGCCAGGGCCCCGGCTGTCCGTATTTACTTCATCATCGCACGTCTTTTCAAAACTACCCTTTCTCCGTGGTTTATGTCCAAGTGTCCCATTTTGTTCTGAGCAGCTTGGGGGTCGAGCCGGTTGACAAAGACACCCTCCGGCAGCCCCCGCGGAACATCAAGGACACGATCCTCAGCAGAGCCCTCATCCTGAGAATCCTCCTGTCGGCTGCCGCCATCATCAGCGGGACCCTCTTTATCTTCTGGAAAGAGGTGGGGCAAGTCCTCACTGGCTCCTCCAGTGGGTGGTCCCTGAGGGCCTGTGTGGCAGCCGACACGGGGCTGGGTTGCATGGGAAGCAGGGTACACGGGCCTGCCCCGGCCCCCACGGGGCTCAGGTCCCATGTGGGAGAGACAAACGTACATACAGGGGACCGTCGGAGACAGGTGGCAGAGGGCAGGGGGCTAGGAGCTGACTTTGCAGAGGTGTGACCAGGCGGAAGGATGTGAGGCCTCAGGGGCAGAGAAAAGAATTAAGATTTTGTTCTCAATGGGACATGAATGCCCCTACTTCTTCCTATTATCACCAGGAAACAATCTGAAATCTAAAGGAAACTCCCATCTCGTTCCCTGGGGGTGGCTGGTTGCAGGATCTTGTTATGGGTCACCCTGTCGTGGCCGCAGGTTCAGGGAGCCCCCGTGTTGAGACATCCAGTGATCTAGAGGGAAGATTAGGCAGGTGGTCTGACGAATGTTTAAGTCCCAGATCGCCCATGTGCAGGACAGGGGATGGGGCACTGGACCGCCACCATTTCTCAGTTTTTCTCAAGCGCGCGCTCTGCCCCAAAGGAACAGCTTTGCCTTTTCCTGAATTCTCACCTGCCGGGAAGGTGGTGGAGTCCCCGCCTTTGTCCAGCCCACGTGCTCAGCCTGGTAGAGGGAGAGGCACAGGCCTTCCCATTCTGACACAGTGGTTCTCCGCTTGGGGGCCCCACACAGCAGCAGCATCCCTGGAGCTTGTGAGAAACACGGACCTGCTGAGTCGTCTGTGTTAACACACATCCCGGAGATCCTGCTGAGAACGCTGGTCCCTCCAGCAGCTGAGCCCAGGCAGGAGTGCTGCCCGGCCAGAGTGTGGTTCCTCACCACTCACATCAGGCGTGGGAAGTTCAGAGAACTGGCCAGAACCTTCTCGCTGAGTCTTCTCACCTTCAGCTCTAGCCCCACCCCCCCGATGCAGCCAAAACGAGACCTGACTCAGTTCCCTTCAGTGGCGCCACAGTCAGGGAGGGGTCTGCGGCTTCCTTCACTCAGCCTCAAAGGCCCTAGTTCTCCATGGGCTCGGCGTCCTTCTGCCTTCCTTGTAGGAAGTGACATTCTGCTAAGTGGGTGTAACTAGCGGTGTCACCTCCTGGGAGGCGGTGTCACCTGCTGCAGGAGGGGGCATTTCCTCTACCTGTGCGAGGCGTCCCCTCTTGAGCATCAGGGGCACCCGAAATTCCAGAGGAAGGGCTGGCGGCCCCTCCCAGGTGCCGACAGAGGGCCGGGCCCTGGGTGGTCGGGAGACACACTTCACCGGTCGACTCCAGACAAGGGACGTCTTGACCAGTTCCTAGTAGCACGTCTCCAGTGCTGTGGCCTGGACGCAGGAGTAGCGATCACAGGTCTGCTCTGGAGTTCCTCTCCCTCCCGGCTCTCGGTGAGGGATGAGCGTAAGAGGTCACAGCATCCCCCTGGGACCCCTCATCCTGTGCATTTGTTCCAGATCCCCGACAACAGGGCAACCACCCCGCGCACCACCACGATGACCTTCACCTGCTTCGTGTTCTTCGACCTCTTCAACGCCCTGACCTGCCGCTCCCAGGTGAGACCCGGGGCTGCGCTCCTCTTCCTGCAGGACCGAGTCGTGTCCCCAGTGAGAAACTCAGCAGTCCCTGCCTGTCACCCAGTGTCTCGACCTCGACGCGGGATCTGGAGGCACCTTTGTCTGAGGTGTGGGTTGCGTGCTGGCTGACGTGTGCCCTTCTCCTCCCGCAGACCAAGTTGATATTCGAGATTGGCTTCCTCCGGAACCACATGTTCCTCTACTCGGTGCTCGGGTCGATTCTGGGGCAGTTGGCTGTGATCTACATCCCGCCCCTGCAGAAGGTCTTCCAGACGGAGAACCTGGGAGCACTCGGTGAGTGGAAGGGGACATGAGGAAGGGGTCACAGGAGGCCAGGACCATCACACGCCACCCCGTCCACCGGGGGAGTGGAACTGCAGAGGTTTCTAGGTGCTAAGTCCCTATGTAGGGCCATTCTGTCCCCAAAGGACTAGACTCGTGCCTGGGCATCTGCACTGGGCAGGAGGTGACGTGATGGGGTGTGGAGATGCAGGGACCCACAGAGGAAGAGGCACGTCTGGCAGGAGTAGGGCTGAGGGCAGAAGGGGACTTGGTATCCCGGCCCCCAGTCCCTGGGGCAGGGGGCTCAGAGCACACACAGCAGGCACATGAGGCTGGGGACTGTGCCGGGATGGACCAAGTCTGGGCTCAGTCTGTGACGTGCCACATGCCACCAGCCTAGGAGCACGTGTGCCCCTGTTGGCAGTGGGGGGTTTGCACAGGGGCCTGTGTGACACGGACACCCACTTAACTGGTGACAGGGAGTAGGCAACCCAGTAGTTTTTGCTGAGAGGGACACAATTTAATGACTGTGCCCGTCCAGGGGCCCCGCACACATGCCCTGGTGCGGAACCCCGAGAACTCCTCCCAGTCCTTGCCCAGGCTTCCCGCAGATCCGAGTGCTTTCTTTGGAAGCTGCCCAGGGTGGGCTGCCTCCTTTGCCTAAAGCTGAGATGACAGTGAGCAGAAGTGGGAGGAGGGTGGGGTCGGGGACAGGCAGGAGGTCGCCTGGTGAGCAGCAGTGACCAGAGCGACTTCTCCTCCCTTCCTTCTGGCCCAAGCTTTCCATTGGCCAAGCCCACCCCAGAGCCAGAGGGCAAGGGTGCTGGTGAGGCAGCCCCCCGAGGCAGAGCGCAGGGTAGGCTGCAGCTCAGGCACACCCGTGAGGACCACGAAATGATCCGTCAGGTCTGAGGCCGTAGAGACAAGTGTACTGACAACCTTTGGGCAAGATTGGGGAACGTCAGCTCTTTCTTCCTAAAACCTAAAAAGCAGTGTCCATGTGGGTCACCCGTGAATGCCCTGCAGGCACAGACAAGAGAAAGAACCAAAAACAAATTTATTTTATTTTTTTTTTTTGCTGAGGAAGATTGGCCCTGAGCTAACATCTGTGCCCATCTTCCTCTATTTTATGTGGGACGCTGCCACAGCACGGCTTGATAAGTGGTGCATAGGTCCACGCCTGGGATTCAAACCCGTGAACCCCGGGCTGCTGAAGTGCAGCACACCGAACTTAACCACTGTGCCACCAGGCCGGCCCCCCCAAAAAAATTTTAATGGCTGTTTCCCTCCCCTGGGAGTGAAGTCAGTACACCAGATCTAAAGGAAGCACCGTGGCTGTGCTTGGGCACTGTGTTGTCACGAACCGTTGACCACAGGAAGCCAGGGAAGGTTCCAAACACCAAGACAGATTGAGGTCAGGGGGACTGTAGGAATCAGTCCCCAGGAATGAGTGAGGGTGGGCTAGACTGGACCGGGAGCCTGGAGCGATGGTTGGGGGCAGCTGTTCTGAGCCGCCTGGAAAGGCTGGCTGGTCCTTGCAGTGCTGGCTCTGCAGCATCCTGGATCCTGGGTGGGAGAGATCTCCACCTGCTCAGGGGAGTGGAGAGGCCTGGTTCTCAGCTCCCGGGGCCCCTTGCCTCTGTCTCTCTGTAACCAAGGATGAAGTGTAAGGAACAGAACTCCACAGCAAACTCCGATTCCAGGCAGTGTCCTGGGCGAGGGGGGCTAGGCCGGGGGTTCCACCTGTGCTCTCTGACTCTTTTCTCCTCTCACCTGTTGGCAGATTTGTTGCTTTTAACCGGATTGGCCTCGTCCGTGTTCATTTTGTCAGAGCTCCTCAAACTATGTGAAAGATTCTGCTCCAGAGCCAAGAAAGCCCAGATTCCCCAGGAAGCTGTATAGCAGCCCCCGACCCGTGTAAATCCCCCAAATCATCTATATTTTTATGTGACTGTGGCCCTCCCCCCAACCCCTCTTCAGAGGGGGTTTTCAGGACACCATAGTGTTAGGTCACTCACTGGGGTTTTCTTCTCGGAAAACCAGCAGGAAGCTCAGAGTCCAGGCCACATCCACCCATCACTCTCGCTGGGCTCGGGGACAGATGGTGAGGAGCCCATGCAGACACACCTCACTATTTATTAAATCAATGATTTTTATTACCCACGTCTGACTGTGTGTTTGTGCCATATCTCGACGCAATGCAGCCCACTCATGAAGAATACACGGGCTCCTCGCAGACTGGGAAGATCGGGGGTTGGGGACGGGGCCCAGGCTTCTGGTCACTTCTCTGCCTGATGTTGGCCCCTTGGAGGCCCCATTTTCTCATCCACAAAATGGGGGCTTGGGATATTTTTGTTCAGTGCCTCGCCAGGGGCCTAATGATCATTTTGAAGGATTTAGTCACTGTTTTCCCACAGTGGCGGGGTCGGAACCCTTATGCCATGTTGGAAACCCACAGCCTCGTGTTCATGACCATGGATATGGCAAGGAGCAGTCATGTCCTACACAGCCGAAACAAAGCCCTCGGCTTTTGAAGATGAACAGTGAGCGGCCCTTCCCTCCAGAACCAGGAACCGGACTATTTCCTGCCTGCCTGAGGATGAGCTTGACTTGCCACTGCCCGCAAGACTGTTCTTAAGACATGTCTGTGCTTCCAGTTGAAAGATGGCAGAGCACGGAGGGCTCCATCCAATTCTTCCGTCTGCAGCCAGGCAAAAACCACCGTGGAGAACCAGAAATGCAACTCCATCTTTCGTGAAATCAGGCCACAACTATCATTCCCCGCCCCCCACCCACCCGCCATTATATCAGTCAGGGTTTTCTGGAGAAACCAAACCAGTAGGATGGAGAGAGGGAGAGAGAGGTCTGTTTTAGTGAATTGGTTCACGTGATTGTTGGGGCTGGAAAGTCTGATATTTGTAGGGCCGGAAAGTCTGATATTTGTAGGGCCAGCCAGCAGGCTGGGACTCAGGAAAAAGTGGATAATGCAGCTCAAGTGGGAAGGCAGTCCTCAAGTCTGGAGGCAGAATTCCTTCCTTCTCAGGGGATCTCAGTCTTTTCTCTTAAGCTTTTAACTGATTGAATGAGGCCCACCCACATTAGGAAAGTAATCTGCTTTATTTACCTGTCTATTGATTTAAATGTTAATCATATCTAAAAAATCTCTCACAGAAACATCTAGACTGATGTTTGACCAAACAATGGGGCACCACGGCCTAGCAAAGTTGACACATGAAAGTAACCATGAGCCACAGTACCTGTGAGACGGGTTGCCCGGGGTGGTGACACCTGGGCCAGATCAGGGTGAGGAAGGTCAGAGTGGACCCTTGCAGCTCCCAGGTAGAGTCCAGATTCCTCCAAAGTAAGAGTCACAGCCTCTGGGGAGGTCACTATGCTCCTTCACACCCCACCAAGTGACACTAGAGCTAAACGAGGAGACGCATATATGGGCCATCCCTGCAAGAAGAGGATCAGGGGGCTGGCTGGAGGATCAAGGTCTTGGGTAGGGTGCTATCTGCTCAGCAGCTGCCATCCTGTAGCAAGTACTGAGAGGTAGAGGCCAAGTCAGGCCGCACACAGCCTGCTGCGGGCTGCGCTCTGAGCCAGGGACACTTCCGCTGCCTCTCTCCCTTTTCAGGATCCTTCAGCAAATGGCCCAAGAAATATGCTTTTCATTTAAGACATAATAATCAAAAAGAACCAGGGTCGATTGATACTTCAATAACAACAACAAAAAGTACTTTTAACCCTTACTTATACCATATAAAACAAACCAAGGTAGATTGTAAATGTAAAAGATGAGCTTTCGGAAGAAAAAATAGGGAGAGGTAAAATTTTACTAAATAACACAGAAAATGCTAACCACAAAGTATAATGGATAAATTGGACTACACTCAAATGAAGACCTTCCTTTCATCAAGGATTTAATAGACTGGAACACCATTAAGCAACTTAGTTTGATTTACATTTATAGAACATTCCACCCATCAACAGCAGAACAACATTGACCAAAATAAAAATAGTAAAGAGCAGAAATCAATGAAGTCCAAGACAAAAGCAGAGAAAAAATCAAATCAAAAGCTAGGTCTCTGAAAAGATCAATAAAAGTGCCAGTCTTGCTAAAGGTTTATCAAAGGAAAAAAAGATACAAATTGCCAATATCAGCAATGAAAGATGATCTATCATTACAGACCCATCAAGATATTCCAACAATAATAAGGGAATACTAAGAACAATTTTATGCACATAAAATCAACAAGTTAGAGGAAATAAATCTATTCCTTAAAACCACAAACTACTAAAACTCACTGAAGATGAAATAGATAATCTGAGTAGTCCTATAACTAGTAGAGACACTGAAGTTGTAGTTAAAACCCTTCCACAAAAAGGAAATCTCCAAAGCCAGATGGTTTCACAGGTAAATTCTACTAAACAGTTAAAGAAATAACAATTTTACACAATCTCTTCCAGAAAATAAAAGAGGAGGGAACACGTCTTAACTCTTTTTATGACGTCAGCTTTACCCTGATACCAAAACCAGACAAAAACAATACTACAGAACAACATCTCTCGTGAACACAGACACCAGAATCCTCAACAGAATATTACCAAATGGGATCCAGCCATATATAAAGAGTACAAGATACCCTGACCAAGTGGGGCTAATCTAAGAGTGGGAGGCTAGTTCAATATTCAAAAAAAAAAAAAGAAAAATCAATGTAATCCACCATATTAATGGTCTAAAGAAGGAAAAACACATGGTCAGATCAATTGATGCAGAAAAAGCATTTGATAAAATTCAAACCCCATTCATGATATAAAAAACTCAGCAAACTAGGAATAGAAGGAAACTTCTTCAACCTAATAGAGTATCTACAAAAGACTTATAGCTAACATCATACTTAATGATGAAAGACTGAATGCTTTCCTCATAAGACTAGGAACAAAGCAAAGATGTCCAGCCTCACCGCTCCTATTCAACACAGTACTGGAATTCCTAGCCAGTGCAGTATGGCAAGAAAAGAAAATTAAAAGTCATTGGAAAAGAGAAAATAAAACTGACCCTATTCAAAGATGACATTATCTATGTAGAAAACCCCAAGGAATCTAAAAAAATAAACAAAAACCTTTATAGAACTAATAAGAGAATCTAGTAAGGCCACAAGATACAAGGTTGACACACAAATATCACTTGTATTTGTATATACCAGAAATGAACAATTGAAACTGAAATTAAAAATTTAGTACGATTTACAATTTTAAAAAATGAAATACTTAGGTGTAAACTAACAAAACATGTATAGGATTTGTCTGCTGAAAACCACAAAACGCCAATGAAAGAAATCAAAATCTACAAAAATGGAGGGACACACTGTGTTCATGGATTGGAAGACTCAATATAGTCAAGACATCAGTTCTGCCTAAATCGGCCTAAAGATTTAACACAATTCCTATCAAAATCTCAGCAGAATATTTTTTCTTTCATTCTTTTTTTTTTTGTGAGGAAGATCAGCCCTGAGCTAACATCTGCCAATCCTCCTTTTTTTCTGCTGAGGAAGACTGGCCCTGGGCTAACATCCGTGCCCATCTTCCTCCACTTTATATGGGACGCTGCCACAGCATGGCTTGCCAAGTGGTGCATCGGTGCACATCTGGGATCCGAACCGGCGAACCCCAGGCCACCGCAGCAGAGCGTGTACACTTAACCGCTTGCGCCACCGGGCTGGGCCCCTCAGCAGGATTTTTTTTGTAGACATAGACAAGCTTATTCTAAAATTTATATGGAAAGACAAAGGAACTAAAACGGCTAAAATTTTGAAAAAGAGGAATAAAGTTGGAAGATACATACTTCCTGATTTTAAGACTGACTATATAGCCACAGCGATCAAGACAGTGTGATATTGGTATATTGACAGACACAGAGACCAACGGGACAGACTAGAGTCCAGAAATAGCCCCACCCAAGTATAGCCAACTGACTTTTGACAAAAATCCAAAAGCAATTCAATGGAGAAAAGATCGTCATTTCAACAAATGGTGTTGGAATAAGTGGACATCTATAATGGACAAAGAACCCCTTCACCTAAACCTCACACCTTCTACAAAAATTAACTCAAAATGGGCCACAGACCAAAACATAGGAGAAAATCTTTGGATCTAGGGTTATGCAAAGAGTTCTTAGACATGACCAAAAATAGCATCCATAAAAGATACGAAAAATTGCTAAATTGAATTTTACCAAAATTAAAAAGTTTTACTCATGAAACTTACTATTAAATGAAATTTTTTTTTAAATTTTTATTTATTTATTTATTTTTCCCCAAAGCCCCAGTAGATAGCTGTATGTCATAGTTGCACATCCTTCTAGTTTCTATATGTGGGACACAGCCTCAGCATGGCCAGAGAAGCGGTGCGTCAGTGAGCGCCCGGGGTCCAAACCCGGGCCGCCAGCAGCGGAGCGCGCGCATTTAACCGCTAAGCCACAGGGCTGGCCCTAAATGAAATTTTTTAAAAAAGGCCACAGACTGGAAGAAAAATATTTTCAAATCACATATCCCACCATGGACTTGGATCCAGAATATTTTTAAAAACTCAGAATTCTAACACTTAAAAAAATTTACAAAATGGGCAAAAGTCTTGAACTGAGCCTTCACCAAAGAGGACATACAGATGGTAAATATGCACATGAAAAGATGTTCAACATCATTAACCAGCAGAGAAATGCAACCTTAACCCACAATGAGATACACTACACACCTATTAGAATGGCTAAAAGAAAAATACTGACAATACTAGGTGCTGACGAGAATGCAGAGCAGCTGGAACTCGTATACATTGCTGGTGGGGAAGTAAGTGCTACAGCCATCTGGAGAACAGTTTGATGATGTCCTGTAAAGTTAAACATACATTTTCCATACGCCAGCAATTGCTATCCTAGGTATTGATCCTAGAAAAGACATGTTTACGCAAAAGTCTGTACATGAATGTTCATGGCAGTGTTATTTGTAAGAGCCAAATCTCAGAAACAACCCAAATGTCCCTAAGTGGGTGAATGGATAAAGAAACTGTGGTGCACCCATACAGTGGCATACTACCCAGCAATGAGAAGGCACACACAGAACAATGGATCTCATGGGTATTATGCTGAGTGACAGGAGCTAGCCTTAAAAGGTTACACACACACAACGTTCCCAAAGTGACAAAATTAAGGTGATGGAGAATGGATTACAGGTTGCCAGGGGTTAGGATTAGCAGGGTGGGACTCTAAAGGGGGGACACGAGGGAGTTTTAGGGGTGGTGGGACAGTCTCTATCCTGACTGTAGTGGTGGTTACACGAATCTATACATGGCACTAAAATGTCCTAGAACCTGTGTTGGGGTCCCCAAGAGCACTCTCAGGCTGTGATTCTCTAGGGAGGACTCAGGGAGAGGAGGACGGAAGCTGCATGTGTGGCACCTCCCAGATTCTGCCCTTTGCTGGTTCTAATTTGGGTCCTTTCCCTGTAATAATGACCCTCAGTAGAACAGGGTTCATGGAGTTCTGTGAGTCTTTTTAGGGAATTATCAAACCTGAGGGTGGTTTTGGAACCCCTCAAACTTGCAGTTGGTGTCAGAAGTCGGGCAGATGCCATTAGCCTTGAGTTTGCCTAAAACCACGTACTATGTAAAAACTGATGAAATTCAGATACAGTCTGCTGTTTAGTTCATAGTGTTGTACCAACACCAATCTCCCAGGCTTGATCATTGTGCTTTGGTTATGTAAGATGCTTTCACTGTGGAAAGGTGGGTGACAGGTACACAGGAACTCTGTGTACTATTTTTGCAACTTCTATGTCAGCCTAAAATTATTTCAAAATAAAGTTGATAAGAAAAAAAAAACAGACTCAGAACAATTGAGCACAAATAGACCAGGCAAAGGCAAACGACAGCAGGCACCACAAGGGTGACACTATTAACATCAGACAGGATTAAAATCATTGCCAAAAGCACTGAGTGAGACAAAGCGGGGAATTTAACAAGCCATAATCACTACGGAAAATCCACAGGCCTGGGTATGCACCAACACCACCTCCAAATGCACAGAGCACAACAGGGGAAATTTAGGAAAAAACCTAAATACAGAAAATTCAGGAAGAGACTCTAACTGGCCACATGTGAGGACACAGCTAAAACCTCAATTGAGTCCAAGAAGTAGACACAATATAGGTGACTTCTCCAATCGCTGTTCAATAAAACTAAAAATGAACAGAATTTGTGAAAAAATTCTCTAGCATACCAAAATTTTAAAACCCTTGGGTGCAAGAGAAAATCAAAGTGAAAACTGCACAAACTCTAGAAGCTAACCATGATCACACACCTGTCACAATCTATGCAATGCTGCTAAAAGGCAGAGCTCAGAGAAAAAAAGTAACAGCTCACATACTCATTACTTCCATTCTTCTTTATTTAGTAATTTAACAATCACCTCAACAAATTTGACAAAGAAAAATACACATAAGCAGGAGGAAATAATGTGAAAGCAAAATTAACTGAAAAACAAAATTGGTAGAACACAATTTAGGAAAAATGAAAGGAAAACAAGAAAAAAACCAGAATTACAGAAGATTTCAAATATTTCAGTCAATCTTATGTAAATTAATTAGAAGAATTAAATAAAATGGAAAATTTATTAGGAAATATAAAAATTGTCAGAACTGCTCTCAGCAGAGATTTAAAACAACCCAGATGATAAAAGAAATGGATGAAGTTGTCAAGAGTGTACCCCCTCCTCGCCTGCCAAACCCCAGAAAGTACCGAGTGAATTTTACCCAAACTTTAAGGAACTCCTTTCATTTGTATTTTCTAGAACCTGAAAAAGGGAAAGGTTCTAAATTATTTTTGAAAAGCCAGCAGACTTTTAAAACGAAAACATGACTTACATAAAATCTGACCAAAACAAAACAACTACAGACCCCCTGATTTATACACATTGCTGCAAAAGTACTAAACCTGGGCCAGCTGAATTAACACAAGAGAAGAGTGACAGTTCAAATACAAAGATGGCTCAGCATTTGGAACCTTACTAATCTGGTATTTCTTATTAACTGAAGAAGAAAATCATAGATGCTAAAAATTAAAAAAACTTTTTATAAAATTTAACATCTACTCTTGATAGAAACTCTTTAATAACATAAATACAAATGGATACTCCCTGTACATGAATGTATATGAAACATATCAAAACTAAAGCCAGCATCATGCTTAGTGACGAAAGCTTAGATGCATTTCCATTAGTCAGGAATGAGATGGATATATCATCACTATTAAAGTTCTGAAAGTATTTGCTGATACAATTAATCAAGAGAAAGAAATAAAAGGCCTACAAATCAGAAGAGCAGGGAAATTATCCTTATTTCCAAGTATGTCATCATACCAGCTGCAATCAACACGTTTGCACACCTTAAACTTACAAAATGTTATATGTCAATTATATCTCCATGAACCTGGGAAAAAAAGAAATAGAAATCTTGCAAGCCAAAACACAACAGCAACACATTTTTCAAGTGCTAGGGGGAAAAAAATGTCAAAATATCTTTCAAAGAGCAAAACGAAAACAATCCTTCAAAACTGAAGGCAAAACAGATTTCAGACAAAAAAAAAAATCATAATACCTGCAGACTCCCAGAGAATTCATAATTAATCAAAAACAATGAACAGCAGTGGTTCTCGGCATGGGGTCCCTGGACCAGCAGCAGCAGCAGCAGCAGCAGGAAATTTATCAGAATGAAAATCTCAGGTCCCTCCCCAGACCCACTGAATCACAGACTCTGGGGTGGAGCTCCACAATCTGCATTTTAAGGAGTCTTCTAGGTGATTCTGATGCAGGCTCAAGGTTGAGAACCCCTGGATAAAAAGAATTCAGCAAGGTAACTGGGTACAAAACTACGTTGAAAATTAAGAGCTTTCCTGTGTTCAAACAATCATCAGTTAGGGGAAAAAAAGTCCACTTCCAGTGCCAGCAATGACGATGTAGCAAACTTAGACGTTCCTGTTCTCGGATAGGAAGCATCGCCAGTCACCAAATGTCAGCCCTGCTTCCACTAATCTGCATTTAATGCTATCTCGAAAACACTATCCAACTTTGTAGAAGGGGTCAAAGTGCTACCAAAGGTCAGAGAAAATAAGAGGGCACGCACATGAAGGAAAATTCCAGAAAACAGTGGTAACAGGGGAATAGCTCTTATATCTTTTTATCCTCAAGCTCCAGTAATTAACACATGAGGGAGACCTAAGCTCATACAGAAATTAAGTTGATGAAACAGCAGCATTTTAAGTCAGTGAGAAAGAGGCTCACCATTTACTATAAAAGGTACTGGGATTTCTTTGGGGGTGAGATAGAGGTATATTTTAAAATATATTTTGAATGGATCAAAGATTTAGAAGTAAAAATGGAAAGCATAGAAATAAAAGAAAACATGGATTTTTTTTTTTTTTGATCTCAGAATGTAGGAAAACTTCCCATGCAAACCACAAATCTCAGAAGCCTTAAGAGGAAATGCTGGCAAATATGACATAAAATACAAAATTTAAGTACAGAAAAACAAGGTCAAACAAATTGGAAAAAATATTTACCATACACAGCAAATGTTATTTTGCTTCTTTCAAAAAAGGCCCCTTGCATTCGCCAGTTTGGATCCTGGGCGCGCACCGGCGCACCACTTGGCAAGCCATGCTGTGGCGGCGTCCCATATAAAATGGAGGAAGATGGGCATGGATGTTAGCCCATGGCCACTATTCCTCAGCAAAAAGAGGAGAATTGGCAGATGTTAGCTCAGGGCCGATCTTCCTCACACACACACACACACACACACAAAAGGCCCCTTGCCAAGCAATCAGAAAACCACCCGCACCCTAAAAAACCAGCCAGGTGAAGGATATGATACAGATGGCTTTTGAAAACTGTCACTCATAAGAGAAATAGAAAATAAAATTATAGTTTTTGCATATAGGGTAAAAACTAAATTTTAATATAGTGTAGGTGAAAACGTGGCAAACAGGCACTATATTCTTACAAGTATAAATTGAGCTCGAAAGAGGTTTGTTAATTTGTCAATATCTAAATTTAAAAACCATGTACCTGGTGATCCAACAATTCAGCTTCTAAGAGTCCATCCTGCAGACAAAATCACAGCAAGACGCACATACAGGATATTCACTCCAGCAACGGTTAGCTACAAACAAAACGTTCCCCAGTCGGGATGGTCGCACACCAGAAGCACGGAGCGTCGTGGGACTTTACGCCGTCAGTGACAACAAAGAGGGAGACGGGCGGATACGGAGCCATCGCCACTAACGCAAAATGAGGGACACACCAGCGTGTAAAACACAATTACGCCGGGTGTGCAATGAGTTACCTCTCAGGAGACCGCAGGGGTTTTGCCACGTGGGAGGAGAAGGGACAGGAGGCAGACATCTTTCAAGTTACAGCCTTTTGTACTCCAGCCTCTTCACCACGTACACATAAGGTAATGTTTTTAATAAAGAAAATACGGTGGGAAAAAAATAACAATAGCCACGTTTCCACCACGGACCTCATTCTTTCACCTCTTCGTTCTAGCACCTTCTGTGGGCCTGATCTGTCTTCACTTACAGGGAGATTGCTGGGCTTTACAACCTGAATTCTTATTCCCATTTCATAAAAGAACAAACTCCTCATTTGTTAAAACTAGTGTAACCAAACTCAGTGGGTCTGTCTCTTGGTGAGTGTGGAGCAGAAAAGCACAACCAGGGCTGAAGTGGGTGAAGAACAAGGTTTATTGCTTGCACAAGCAATGCACAACACCAGGGACAGCTCCCAAAGCAGTGCCCCCAGCCCAGCTTAGTGCAGGGGGAGACTTTACACACCAGAGTGCAGGGGATACGTCACAACTGGGTAACAACTGGGCCTGATCAGGGCACACGTGCGGGCCATTACACAAGTTCAACGCCATTACATAAGAGGTTCAAGGCAACGTGCCCTTTAGAGCTGGAGCAATCTGCAGGGGTCCTGCTGCCAATGTGTCAGTTTCACTGCAGGGTGGCAACATCTGCAAAAATGGGGACATCAACTTCCGAAAAACAGCACATTTAGTTTTCTCCTCGTCTGGAAAACATTTGACAGACTATGTTTAGTTATGGATCAGATTTTCAGGAACCCTTTCCTTGCCTGGTTTCTGGTCACACTAGCATCGCGGGTCTCTCCACCCCAGGCAGAGTGTGGTTCGTCAGGTCCAGTGGCCCTGGGCACGGCTGACATCCTCAACAGGGCTGTGTGCCCAGAGCCACACCCAACGGGGAGAGGCAGACTCTCACGCCAAGGAACATCGCACAGCTGACCCGCGCCCACCGGAGGGCCACATCCCCCAGGTTACCAAGCACCTGGGCTGGGCACGCTCCTCTCCTTGTGGAGGTGTGCTGTCTTAGACACAGACCCCATTTGCGATCTGCACTCTTGTTAAAACAACACAAGGCAGAAGGCGAGCAGGCAAAATCTAACCCTCCCTGCCAGCCACCCACAGAGGCAGCAGTAAATGGTATTCAAGGCACGGACACCAATGGACCTTTCAGTAGTGAGGTATTTTTAATTGCATTTTATAAAAAAAATTCCACAACAAACTGAAGACTTGGGACCTAATTCTTTAGATTCTGGTAAGGATATCTGAGGATCCTAATATCCTGTATCTGCTATCCCATCAGTTAGGAAGATCACATAATGTACCTGAGAAGCTATTAAAAACTGGCTTTTTATAAGGAAAATCAATCATGGCCAAGCCTGTGTGTGTCACCCTGCTGCACCTCTGCGCACGTCTGAGCACGCACGTTCCTTTTGAAGGCTAATTTACAAGGCCTTCTGCTCAGTCAGGGGCCCTGCTAAGTGCAATCTGATGAGTCTCCTGGTAGAAAATGCAGAGCCTGCAAAATGCAAAGAGCTCAGTTTACTATGGCTTATAATCACAGCAAACTCTACAATAAAAGGTTGCGTTTTCATCAGATCTGCAAAAGGTCAAAGTTTACAGCAAAAGACAAAAGGAGGAGGTATATGTCTTAGAGATGAGCTCACAGCTCCTTTAAGCAGGGAATTCTCACAGTGTGTTCAGAGTTTCTTCAGGCCTGCCTTGGACGGGAGATGGCAGCTCTGCTTGGAGGCCCAGCTTACCTGGGTCATCATTAGCATTTCAGGATCACTGGAGTTTGTTTAAAGCTGTCAAATTACCCTCCATGCCCTTCGGGGGCAGCACTGGGCAGGGAGGGTGATACTGAGGGGGGTGGTGCCCAGAGGCCAGGAACGCAGGCCAGTACTGTCAAGGTGGTTCCCACTGATTTATGCAACAGGCCGTATATATATCAACGGAACTCTCAGCCTTAGGGCCCCAAATGTCCCCCACATTTAAATTAGCAACAGAAGCACAACTTTGCTTCTCTGTAGATCTCCTGGTTTTCCTACCTGCTCACAGATTCACCTAAAAACAGCTGAGGGCCAGCCCTGTGGCTTAGCGGTTAAGTGCACGCGCTCCGCTGCTGGCGGCCCGGGTTCGGATCCCGGGCGCGCACCGACGCACCGCTTCTCCGGCCATGCTGAGGCCGCGTCCCACATACAGCAACTAGAAGGCTGTGCAAGTATGACATACAACCATTTACTGGGGCTTTGGGGAAGAAAAAAGGGAGGAGGATTGGCAATAGATGTTAGCTCAGGGCCGGTCTTCCTCAGCAAAAAGAGGAGGATTAGCATGGATGTTAGCTCAGGGCTGACCTCCCTCACACACACACAAAAAAACAACAGCTGAAAAAGGCAGATGTGGAACCTTATTATAAACACCTACTAAGGACCCACACCACTATGATTTTTAAAATCTTTGGCTGTTTTCCCCATTAATACGCCGTGCTTTTCTTATAAATACAGAAATTCCATGTCATAGGAAGCTGTTCCCCAAAAGCAAAGAGATTCACATCCGAACGCCTCTTTACCAGTTGAAATGGACCATCAGGGCCTGCTTGCAGCTGGGACGGCCTGAGCAGAGGCCAATGACCCCCACGGGTGGAACCCCCTCCTACACAGCAAGAACTCACATTCCCAACAAACACTAACTCCAGCGGAGGTCTCAACGTCTTTGGATTTCATTGATAGAAAATGAACAAAGTATAAGAATTCAGTCGCTAATCTGACACAGGATTTCTGGGAGATACACCCACCAACCAATACACGGGACCAGAGGAACTTGACTCTGTTCCAATTGAGCACGGCCAGGACCACCTGGACATGACCGGTGTGGCTCTATGTTAAAGCAGGCACAGGCGGGGTGAGCAGAGGGTCGGCAGGCTGTGCGCCCTGCCCAGGGGGGCCATCCTGCAACTCCAGGAAGGCCGGAGCTCAGGGACTCCTCAATCGTCGTCCTCCGGGACCTCCCGGAGCCCTTGGCTTTGGCGGCTCCGCCCAGTGATTTCCAGCAGCGCCTGGGCCTCGGGGTCCACGTCCAGGATGCTCCTGCTGCTCTTGGCCTTGGGGAGAAGGGAAGGGCGGGTGTGTTTACTGACTGCCCCGCTGGCTCAAGCTCGTCAGCGTGCAATCAATATCCTGCTGTTGCCGCAACGAAAACGCAGCGGGGGCTCTGGCTCCCTCACTGAGGTCCCCCCACACTGTCACAGAGAGGTGACGAGGTGCAGAGGGCCCAACGACTCACTGCAGAACCGCAGAACTAGAAGGAACCCCAGACCCTCTCCGCCTTGCGGATGGGCCGTCCACCCGCCCGGGTTCACACCTTACACAAGGCCCTGCTTCCCGGCGCGTTTTGTTCTACTAAACCCCCTATGAACCCCGACAGGACTCCCAGCTGTGCTGTGCACCCACTGGCATCCCTCTGGCCAGCAACAGCTGCTGAAAACAAATCTGGAATAAACTCTCTCGGATGGAGGAGTAAAAGGGGCAAAGCCGAGAAGGGGAGAAATGCCCCACGCTCACCAGCTGCGACTCCGAGGCGTCTCCCACCGCCCACACCTCCAACTTCTCGAACCGGAAGTTCTCCTTGGCCGACAGCTGAGGGCTGTTGTATGTGGTGCACGTGGGCTTGGCCTTGCTGTGTCCTTTCCCGAAATCGACATCAATCCACAGCCCAAAGTAATCGTGCTGCCCTCCCATGCCCTGTAAGGGAAGAGCGCCAGCATCTCCTCAGCCCAGACATCAGACACCCTAAGATTGCTCAGCCGTAAGCACCAGCCTGAGATGAGGGCAGAGAAGAAGAGAATGCAATTTTCTTTTTTCTTTTTTTAACTCTGAAATATATAGATTGATACAATTTAAGTATCCCATTACAAGTTACTAGAACAATCATCAGAGTGTCCAGACTCCCACCCCATGGCTCCTTCTCATGGGACTATGCTGGCTGGAAGCCCAAGAGACAGCAGAAGACAAAAATAAAAAAATTAAAAAAATACAGACCGTCAGGGCCCAGAGACCCAAACCACTAAAACAAGGGTCAACAACACAGAACTTGACCCTGGAAATCCGACTGTGTCTGGGCCCCCGGGGCAGGGACACTCACCCTCGCACAGACCGGGACGTTGTGCTCGGAGCACTTACTCAATGCAGTGGATGACCGCCAGGAGAGGAAGCAGGAGGCAGATGCGGGCAGCGACCCACAGCTGTTCTCTGCACTCCCGGCACACTGCCGGCTCTAAGCTACTGGCTGACGGGGACAGAACCGCTGTTCAACCTCCCTGCTCACTTCTCTGGCTGCCCCCTCCACCACTGCCTCTTCTCGGGTCCCCGGGAGGCCTAGAACTAATGTGGAGCAAGGGACGAGCAGGATAATGCAGGCGACTCTGAGAGCCGCTTCTCTCCTCGGGCCGATTGCTGGCGACTACTGGGACCTGCTGGGTGCTGCCCCTGTGGACCCATCCGGGGGTGGGCTCCTCGGACCCTCACCTCTCCGGTCACCAAACTGCCATTTTCTAGGAGGTGTTGGGGTCCTCAGGTGGCTCCGTGGGAGCCGTGCAGCGAGCCTGGAAGGAGCACTGGGGCCCTCTCCGTCCTGACAAGGACCAGCCTTCTGGGCCCCTGGCTCTGCAAGCACAGGGCTGGAACCTCCCAAAAGGAGCTTTTTGTTAAGAAGCAGAAAAAGAAATGGGCCAGGGCGCTGGTGGAAGACACATTCCTCACCCGAACGAAGTGGCTGACAAGTGCTGGGCTGGGGGGTGTGCGTGGACACCCATGCCAGCTCCTCACCTCAGCCCTGACCCCCTCAGCCACCCCAGCCCCCTCTGCCCACCCTTTGCCTTCACGCTTGTCCTCCTTCCTGTGGCTGAGTCTCGAGGCTGGAGCACGGAGCAAACAGGCGGCACCATCACCCCGACTGGGGCCCCACACACTCACATGCCCAGCCTGGACGTGCCCCCTCCTCCTCCCCGGGCTCATCCCCCAGCGTGTGGCGAGGCAGCAATGCCTGGAGACAGGTTCGAGACCGACACCATCTCCAGCCACGAAGGCCACAGGCCAATCATCTAATTACCAGGAAAACTGGCCGAATCCACCATTTGCACACAAACCACTGAAATGCCCCAACAGAGGCCCGTCCTTCCAAGAGAGAAATTCTGTCCTGTTGGCTGATCGTGGCCCTGAAGCCCAGGCAGAACCGCATGCGTACAGCTCTCGATGATGTGGGAGAGGTGCCAGCCTAGCCATGTCAGGATTGACCCCGTCGGGGACGGACAGCACGAAGGCGGGACGTCCCCCTGCCCGTCTCAGGTCCTTACCAGTCCGTTTGGGATGGTCTGCTGCCCGTGATTCAGGTACATGTAGTGGTCGTTGTAGCCCGTGCAGGTGTACACAGCCATGCTGGGGGAGATGGAGAACAGGAAGCATTTGTCATCCCCTGAAAGTGACAGAGTGCAAATAAGCAGGGTCACCCATCTCAGCCGGGCACAGAGGGAAGCAGGAAACGGAACAAGCCACCACTCAGGAGGCAAAAACCTTCACACGGGTCTTTGGTGCCCTGAGCTCACCAGACACTGGGGCCTCGGCCATCAGAGACCAGTGGGCAGCTCCCAGACCCCACAGATGACAGGCCTTACAGCTGCCAGGGACCTGGAGAATGAGCTGGCAGGGGGAGGCAGCGAGCGTGACAGCTAAAAAGGAACGTGACATCTGCTTGCTGGGGACAACTTTCAGCTCTCACCTGAAAGCTCTGTCTCCTGTTCGCCGACTGAGCACACTGAAGTCAGAAAGAGCAGCCTCCTTTTCACTTAGAAGCAAGGGGGCAGGCGGTCTCCCCAGGTCCCGACTTGGCACTACCACAGCCTCCTCAAGTGGGCACATGATACTGCGCAAGGCTGTCCCCAGCCTAAAAGAAGGCGTCATCCAGAGGGGACACACCTGCAGACACACCGCTGTCTACAGGGCATGAGCTGCTGAGAGGGACACACAGTGACAGGTGACTGTCTAGCTTCGTCCAAGGTGTGGGCATGCGTGCCACAAGAGAAGGTACTGGTCAAAACTCCAGAAAAGACAGGCATCCTACGGCTTAGAGGTGCCTTACTTCCTTCCGTGGTTCATCCGTTCCGTAAGCATATTCCGCAGAGGGGAGTGCGGTGGAGGCCACGCCTCCCCCCACTGAGCCTCCAGCTGGGCAGGAGCCACAGAGATGCGCCCCCCAGTTGTGAGAACTTAGCCAGAAGGACTGCCCCTCCATAGTGACACCGTGAAGGCCACCTGATGTCACATAAGCCGACACAGGGCCAAGCTCACGGCACTTTGGGGTCGGGCCATTTGTGAGGTGGGACGGAAGGTCCCAGGAAGCAGGCTGGGAGCCCGGATGTGGAGGGTGGACACGAAGCGGGACTCAAGCCCAAGGGGCCTCAGGGGGAGGACAGCTCTCAGCAGCAGCAAGAGCCCAGACCAGCAGAGTCAGGCAAGTGACGCTCGGGCCTCCCATCCAGAAGGATCCATGGGGGCCTCTGCAGTTGTGGTGGTCAGGGGGCTTCTGGAGGCTGCAAATTAGTGCCTCCAGGGTCGGGAAGGACGTCCTGAGATGGAGACGGCTACTCCACGCAGGGACAAGGCGCGGGCACGCGGGAAACAGCAGGGCCCCTCGGTCGCACTGCAAGGTTTGTGAGCGCTGGGGTGGGGGAAGAAGGGAGGTGATCCTGGAGAGGTCAGCTGGAGCCGGACGACAGAGGGCTTTACTCCTGGCTAAAGTCTCAGGCTTGATTCCACGGGCTCAGGCGGCCCCAGAAGGCTGGGGGCAGTTTCAGGCACGATGAACTACCTGGTCCCACCCTGTGCCCCAGGTGCTGGGTATCAGCACCACTTTGCTCCGCAATCCTAAGGCTGTCTTTCGACCAACATTTCCTGGGTGCCAGATGCTAAGAAAGGCGCTAGGGTCACAAAGTGTAGACCCGTCAGCTGCAAAGGACCCCATTCTAGTTCATCCTGGGGTCGGCGCTCACTGGGGAGGGCCACGTGGGGGGAAACCTTACTCTCTAGGATGCAGGAACAAGGAGTCATTATCACCTGCAAAAAAGCCAAGCCAACAGGAGGGCGCATCTCTCACAACAAGGACACTCAAGAACCAGGCAGCCAGCGCCACCCAGCACGAGACAGGTACAAGCAAGTGTACCAGGCGGTGCCATTTCACGTAGTTCTGAGTAACTGAGGCCCGGAGAAAATCAGCACCTTGCCCAGGACCAGAGGTGGGACTCACGAGGCTGTGTGCTCAGTCCAAAGCCGTGGGCCTTTCAACTGCACCACAGAAAACATGAGCAAAAATGAAGCGATGCCCCAGCTGTTACCACTTCAAGTGTCAAATATTAGGACTCTGCAGGACAAAGGGACAAGAAGGCTCGCTGAACTTGACCTGAATCAGTGATGCAAGGCTGCCCTCTGCTGGAAGCCCAGCCTCATATTTCAGAACAGAAAGAACTCAAGTTTGATAACTGGGTAATTGCTTTTTCCCACTGTTCCTCAGGAAGATTAATTCCGCTTGTTAAAAAAACATTAAGACCCAGCAGAGCCAGCCTGGAGTTAAAATTAAAAGAGCTGGAAGAGGAGGAAGCTTCTCTATAATAATGATTCTCAGGGTTTTTCCATCCTAAAGCAGAGCCTCCAACCGTGCAGAGAGGGCAGCTCGTTCATTCCCCCAAAGCCTCGAGATGGAGCTGGGGGAGGACGCCCCATCCTCTGACACTGTGACGGGGAAGGTGGGTGTGCAGAGGAGCTAACACAGCGGGCCTGAGACTGCTGTCCCCAGAAAGGCCTGCTTGCAAGGCTGGCCCTCGGCTGGCGTCTGGGAACTTGGACTGGGGAGGGTCCCCACCACTCCCAGACTGATAAGAGGGGCTCCCGGTGCCTAAACTGTTTGTGCAAATAGCATGGTTGGTGCTGAACACCTGCTCTCCTCCTGGGAGTCTGGGATCTGCGTACGTACAGGCAGAGGGTGCTCACGTGACCGGTCCCCACGGAACCCTCGGCACTGGGTCTCTAACGAGAGTCCCTGGAAGACGGCACTTCACATGTGCTGTCACAACTCTTGCTGGGGGAATTAAGTGTGTCCTGTGTGACTCCCCTGGAAGAAGACTCTGGAAGCTGGAGTCTGGTCTCCCCTGGACTTCATCCTACCGCCTGTGCCCTTTGCTCATCTGGCTCTGCACCCTCACTGTGATAGATCACGGCCATGAGGATGCAGTGACCATGCGCAGAGTCCTGTGAGTCCTCCTACGGAATCACTGACGTGGGGGAGTGGGGGGCTTTTGGGGACCCATGACACACTGGGGAAGGGCTGGTAGCAGCAACTGGATTAAAGATCTGGAACATTCTGAAACCTAGAGAAAACCAAATCCTAAAAACAATGGGCTCTCAGGGACAGAGGTACTCAACCCTTCATCTCATAAGTCCTTCTACCCGTCCCAGGTAAACAGCTGCCCCGCTGCTGCTAAACTCTCTCCAGGAATGGCAACTCTGCTCCTAGACACAGCTCCCTGGCCAGCAGAAGCTCTCCTAGTGGAGGGAAGACAGAAACAATTCCAGGGGCGTGCAGTACAACAGAGGATGCACAGGGAGCACACGGCCCTTGTGTGGTTGGGGAGGCTTCCCGGAGGAGGCAACCCTGGGCTGAGTCCCAACAAGGAGCTGGCAGTGCAAACAGGTGAGGAAGAGAGAAAGAGCAGCATGTCCCGATGCCAAGAGGGAGCACGGCCTGTTCTGGAAACCGCAGGTAGTTCAGGGAGACTAAGCACGGAGCCTTAGGGGACAGGAGCGGGTTGTGAAGCTGGAGATAAAAGGTGTGCCGTCCTGCAGGCAGGGGGAGTCTGTTCAAGGGTTTCCACAAGAAGAGCACCATGTCAGGTGTGCTGGGATGTGGCAAATGGATTGGAGGGCTGAGGCTAAAAGCAGGGGCCAGTTAAAGGCAGCTGCAGTCCCGCTGGTGAGAGCGACATGGAGGGGAGAGGCGGCAAGACGCAGGCAGAATGGATGGGAACTGATGACTGTCTGGTGGGACGCACAGTCCCCGGCCCAGAGGAACACACCACCTTTCTCCCTGGCTCCCGAATCTCAGGACCTGGGATCTTCCCTTCCACTGACCCAGCCAGTACTGACCATGCCCCTCACTGGGAGGGACCCTCCTGGCTCCATTTAGCTCAGGGGAGTGAGGGCAACCTGAATCTCGTCTCTTAGAGCCGCTAGGAAAAGCCGTCCATTCACAGCTGCTGGCCCCCAAGGAGACCTACTGAGAACACAGCCATGGGCAGCCTGGGCCACGCACCCTGGGGACACACAGTGACATCAAGTCCTGGGAAGGCAGGCTCACCTCTGAGTACGACAACAGCCCACTGCCCAAGAGGAGAGCGTTTTCAAAAATGGTCCCCTAAAAATGTTTTCCAGAGTATTTTCCTTTGAGGACGGGGAAGAGTTTACTTAGAGCCTTTCATCTAGTGCACTGAAGGTCACACAAAGAACTTCCAAACTCCAACAAAATCACAAAACTGAAAAACTAGAGCAGAAAACAAAGGCTGAAGGAAAGCAAACACGCAGGGGCAGCGGGGGTGGGTTCCAGGAAAGGAAGCCAGTCTCGGGAGAGAAGACATCTCATCTGAAAGGGTCGGCGTCTCTCAGTTCCTCCTGAGGCATCCACAGCCCAGCCCCTCCCATGGCTGGCACAGACATGTGCAATAATGCCGCACCACTGTCTCCTCCCCTGACATCCAGGGTGAAGGCACCTGTCCTGCTTACCTTCCCGTTGCCAGAATCAGAAAAGAAGTCCACGCAGCGTCAGATCACCGTAAAGCAGCATCACCTTTTACAACCCTCCCAACGGCGTCCAGAAACCACGCGGAGAAGACGGGAGAAACGCTCACATCCTCTGCTGGTGCTCGCAGGTCTCTGACCAGCATTCTTAACGAGCACCAGGCTACCACTCGGGGTTTCGGTGGCCAAGTCTTACCTTGAAACTGAGGCTTGACCTCCCAGGAGCAGGAGGCAAACCCACCGAACACGTGGCCGTCGTGGTCCTGGAGGAGCACCACACAGGGCCCCCCGTGCGTGATGTGCCCACAGAGCTGGGCGAAGCTGTGCCCGTGGAGCTCGGACGAGAAGAGCAGACGCCAGCGGTGCCGCCGCTCCCTGGGCAGGTGGGAGTTGACGTAGATGACCGACAGGACATCCAGCACGCTCTCAAACTCCCGCTCCTGATCGACCTGACGCTCGGGGAGCAGGGCAGACAGGTCGAGGGATGAGCCCAGGAGGAGAAAGCCTCTGTGGATGACCACGCTCAGAAACGTGGCCACGTGGGGGGCCCTGAACACCCAGTCCTCGATCGTGGCTCGGTCACAGTCACAGTCCAGCCGCTGAGGCCCCAGAAGCTTCTCGCCACCTAAGGAAGGGAGAGCAGTACATCACCTCATACCTACTACCTAAACCCGCGCTGTCCAACAAGGAAGCCATGCATGGCTTCTGAGCACCTGACATGCGCCCGTCTGAACTGAGACGTGTGGTAAGTGTACAGTACACACCAATTTCGATACCTGGTATAAAAAAATGTAAAATATCTCAATCATTTTTATATTGATTACCAATGTTAAATTATATTTTGGACAAATTAAAATTAATTTCACTTGTTTCTTTTTACTATTTTAATGTGGCTACTAGACTATTTAAAGTTTCACATGTGGCCTGCCTTAGTGCTTGCATTATCTCTTTGTGGGACAGCCCTGATCTAAACAATTCAACATCAACACTTATCTTTTCTCTCCTCTCCAAGCTGCATTTCAGAGGCCCCCAAGACAGCCGTGCCCTCACCCCAGGGCCCAGCCCCGAGACTCCTCAGCAATTGTTCCTGAGAGAGCTACCCCAAAAGCCACTTGTGGAGGGCTTCCAGCCCCACAAGGTCATTTGGAAAGGATTTAGAAGTGCGTTGTTATATATAATTATACATAATATCATGTTGTTCTTCTTTCTAAGTTCTAAATATACCACTTAATTTTTGAAATATAACCTATTTGCAAACTGCATTTAAAAATCCAGCTTTATCATAAAACTGTAATGCTTTCATAAAACAAGTCTACTGCAAACAGATTCACCACAAGGTATTTTTAAATCCCAGTAAATTTAAATATATCCTATTTCTCATCCAACAATAGCAGAATACACATTCTCAAGTGCACACAGAACATTCTCCAGAACAGAGCACATGCCAGGCCATAAAACATGCCTCCATAAATTTAAAAAGACTGAAATCATACAAAGTATGTTCTTCAACCACATGGAATGAAATTTCAGATTAACAGCAGAAGGCAATTTGAGAAATTCACAAACATGTAGAAATTAAATCACATACCTCTAAATAACCAAAAGACCAAAGAAGAAATTATAAGGGAAGTTAGAAAATACAGAGATGGATGAAAACAAAAACACAACATACCCAAACTTATGAGATTCAGCTAAAGCAGTGCTTAGAGGGAAATTTACAGCCGTAAATGCCCATATTGAAAAACAGAGATCTGAAATCAATAACCTCACATTCTACCTTAGGAAACTAGAGAAAGAAGACCAAACAAAATCTAAAGCAAGCAGAAGAAGGAAATAAAAGACTTATAAGTGAAGAGAAATGAAACAGAAATTAGGCAACAGAGAAAATTCACAAAACCAAAAGTTGGCTCTTTAAAAATATCAACAAAAAACAGACAAACCTTTAGCTACACTGACCAAGAAAAAAGAAAGAAGACTCAAACTACCAAAGTGAGAAACGAAAGTGGGGACATCCCTACTGACCTCAAAGAATAAGAATTATCAGGAAATACTAGGAACAATTGTATGCCAACCAATTAGAGAGTCTAGAACAAAGTTGGGGGACTCACGCTTCCTGATTTTAAAACCGTACTCCAAAGCCACACTAATTGAGACGGCATGGTGCCCCTCTACGCACCAAGTCTCACTGTGAGCCCACGAGGGCACTTGCCTGGAAGCTTCATCTCGGAGAAGAGCTGGGCAGCCAGCACCTGCACCCTGGGCGGGGAGCCCGGGCCCTTCTTCTGAGTCCAGCCTCTCAGCTCCTGCCTGTGCTCTAGCACGTGCGCCACAGAGCCGACCAGATCCTCTGTAAACTGCAATATCGCAATTTAACCATTAGTAACATTTCCACCGTGACCCACAACCTACGTCCTATCAACATGGGGAAGGTCGTTTTATCTCTTCAGTGCCAACTATGACGGACCACACTAAAAGATCACGTAACTTAGGTACTTCTTCACTTTTCTCATGATACCCTGGGCTGGCCTAGAAGATCTGCCAAGGCCTTTGCCCAGGAGTTCTGACCTCACCCAGCATGTGGTCTAGGGGTCCCCGAGGGTGGACATTTCCACGAGGCCTCCACCAGCTACTCGATGCTCCCGAGTCCCCCACCTAAGGACACCGAGACTGCTTGCGCTGCGGAAGGCCTCGTGGCCCCGCTACCTTCTGGATTTCTCTTGCTTTCACGGGACCTTCTGTGGCAGAAATCATTTTCAGGATCACGAGACTCTTCTCCTCGGAGTTTCCTTTTAACAGGTGGGACATTGACACTGTGAACTGCTTCTGGGAGACACCCTCACTGGGCCCCACCGCCGTCCCCGTCACGTTGACCCTCCGCATCCCATCATACAGTCTGGTGACCATCTCTGGGGGAAGAGCTTCCCCAACGTGGCTCTGTTGGGGACAAGCAGGAGGAAAGCATGGACGGGATACAAGTTAAATGTGGTGGAATCACGGAAAACAACTAGGAGACCAAGACCAACTACTGCTGTTTCTACCACCTCTCCCCACCTAAAGGCATCACACCACCCAAGGACCCACATACCTAATATGTCCTGGCTTGTGGCTCATCTTGGCCATCAGACTCTTACAGTCTTTTCCCGTCCTGTCCTCCAAGCTTTCTAGTCTCCCCAGATTGGCCACGTCATTCCGACCTCTGGCCACTGCCTGCTCTTCACTCTGCCTACAACATCTTCTTCATTCTAGACTCTAATAGCTGCCATTTGCACGTCTGAATTGATTAACACATGGAACATATGTCTGTGTGGAGCTAATCTGGTCTCCTCTATATTAAGGACTTGCAAATATATTAGCTAGCTTTCACTTCTTATCCAAGTTCTTTGTGCTCAGTAGGCATTTTTAATTAATTTTTATTTAAATTTTAAATCTAATTCTTAATTAATGTCTTGCCTATAACATTCTGTAAATGTCCTCCACCTTTTCGACTCCAACATCAAATCTGATGTGGTCCAGGGATTACAAACAAATGGTGAGAGACAGCAAATCAAGAACGAAATCACACATTTCCTTCATAGAGGGGTCTGCAAATCGGATTCTCCTGTAACCACTTACTGTGTCTGCACTGTTTGTGACAACACCGATCTTTCTGCAGTTCTTGTAAAGCCGGTTCCCAGCCCACTCCTCAAAAAGAGTATTCCTATTTCCGTCGATGTTTTCAAAGTTCTACCAGAAAAGCAACCTCTAATTCCTTCCCAAAGGAAACTTTATTCAATCGCCGAGGTTTTCTGATCAACTTTCAACCATGTGTATCTTGATAACACTCATGAATGTTGTCACCCGCTCTGCAGGCAAGTCCTTCCCCGGCCTGTCTGGGTCCGTATGCTCCAGCTTGGCAGGTGACCTGGCAGACCCGGTGCCTTGGGACAGTGGAGATGCACACACGTACACACCACACAGCTGTGACCCAGACAGCCTCCCTGGCCAGCGTCCTCATCTGTAAAGTGAGCGTGCTGGGGGATCCCCAATGCCCTGACCAGCTCCCATTCTGCATGTTCTAGAAGAGGAGGCTGATAGAATGTCTTCACACGCTGCATTCCCTCCCCACCTCCCACAAAGATGGGCTGATGTTGTCTCTGCCTCAGTCTGAGCACTCAGACATGTGGTTAAAAGCCCTATGGAATGGGGCAAAAAGATGGAGAATCAGGCAGTTTTAACACCTTGTCAGGTGAACCTTGAATCTGAACATTCTTTTGTTAGGAGGATCATAAACTTCCTAAGACGTCAAACACTTACAAATTCTAACGGCAAAGGTATACTTGAAACATTGTGGTTACCGGACCTATGAATCCCACTGAGGTGGTCTGTCCCCCCATCTCGGAGGGAAATCAGGAGACAATGGTTCAAGAAGTGGGCAGCAGGGCTGGGCCCTTTGGTCAGTCTCAAGGTAGAAACGTCCCCAAAACATCACACTACAAAGGCAACAGACATCACATAGCCACAAAGCCGAAAATCCGTACTATCCAGCCCTTTACAGAAAGCAAGCCTCGTAGTGTTCCCATACACCTGTCTCACACACACAAGAGCCGATCTTGGTCCGGGGGGCCATAGCTTGCAGAGCCCTGCTCCAAACTAGATATTAACTGCCGACTGTTACTCTTGCCTGTAGTGCCTTCAGAGAGAAGGATCTGGGCGAGGTATTCGAGCTGTGTTTGTCCGATGACAGAGCATCAAAGAGTCTATCGATCTCAGCCTGCTCCTCAGGCAGAAACTGTGAACAGGTGTTCTGCCCCGAGCGGCTTTTGGCGTTCCCCATATTCCCTTCTATCCGGCAGAACCCTCTGCAGAACAAAAAGATTCCAAGTTAGAGAGAAAAGCCAAAATGTAATAATCATATGGTATAAATGTTGATAATTATACGGTGAAGTTAATAAATATCGATTTAGCTACAAAATGCAGCTTAAACGCATCAGAGCTACGTAATGTTTCAGTGTGGTAGAAATTGATACTTGATACAAAAAAAGTGGGGAAACCCCATCCTGATTCCTATGACTTCCCGAAGCACGCTCGTAATTGCCAAACAAGTCTGGATTTCCTTATTTGAAAACACAGTTCCCACGCCGACATAACTAAAAGGTAGAAAAATCAGTATTTTAATCTAAATATTCATTTTTTAAAAACCTGAGTTGAAAAAACTCTGTAAGGCTGGATGATCACATGTATTTGAATAAAATCGACACCTTGAAAATATCGCCTACAAAGCGAACAGGCTATTTGACACGTTCTTCCTCTGTGATCCTGGTTCCACCTCCTACCAGGTGTGTGGTCTTCTCTGTGCCTGGCTCTCCACGTTAGTAAAATGGGAATCCTCGAGATCCCAGCAGAGAGCCGCACCCAAGGGCTGGTGACCTCTGTTTGTTATCACAAACCTCATTACAGAAGGGGGTCAAGTGCCAACAGATCAAACAGGGATTCAAAGCAAACAGCACAGCCAGATAAAAACATCTTTTAAGAAGCAAAATGCTGTGACTTCTTAATCCTGTCCTGAGACTTCATCTGGAAACTCAGGTCGGTGACATTAAAGGAGAAACAAGCACGTTCCCCGGCACAGGCAACTCAATAAACTAAGTCAAAGCAACAGGACAGTCTCCCACCAGGTGCACGGGGGAGGGCACAGAGCTTGGAAAACAGCCCCATCGAGATCTGGCTGATCAAAGGGGAAATGGGGTACAATGTGGGTCTTTCTTCTCTATTTTCTTTTTACTGCAGTGAGAGTCACATAACACAAAACTATCCATTTTAAAGTGTACAATTCTGTGGATTTAATACATTCACAGGGTCGTGCAACCACCACCTCTATCTAGTCCCACTAGCATTTCATCACCCCAAGAGAAGCCCCAGACCCATTAGCAGTCACTCCCCATTCCCCCTCCTCCAGCCCCTGGCAACCACTAATGTGTTTTCTGTCTGTACAGATTTATCTACTCTGGACATTTCATATACATGGCATCATACACTAGGTGGTCTTTCGTGGCTGGCTACTTTGACTTGGCAGAACGTTTTCACACTTCCTCCATGTTGTAGCCTGTGTCAGGACTTCACTCCCTTTTCTGGCTGAATACTATTCCAGTGCATGGAGATACCACATCTGGTTTACCCATTCCTCTGCTGATGGACATTCAGGCTGTTTCTACTTTTTGGGGACCGTGACTAGCACTGCCATGAGCATGTGTGTACGTGTACTTGTTTGAGCACCTACTTTCCAGTTTGGGGGTGTGTACCCAGGAGTGGAGTTGCTGGGCCACACGGTAATCTGATGAGTAACTTTTTGAGGAAACGCCAAACTGGGTTCCATTTTCCACTCCCAGTAGCAAAGATGAGGGTTCCAATTTCTCCACATCCTCTCCAACACTCTTGTTATTCTTCCTTCTTTTTCATCGCAGCCATCCTGGCACAGGACCGTCTGCCCTGAACGGGAAGCCTCCCGCTGGGGCTCCCTGCAGAGGGGCTGCAGCACACTTGCAGAGGCAGGCTGGAAGCAAGGGCTCCCGAGGCCCAGGGTGGGGCTGTCACTCTCGGGCTATCTGACCTAACGCTTCCACTCCTCGAGTTTCTCAGCAGCATAAGAGCCAAGCAGGAAAACCTCCGGCCCAGGGCTCAAGGTCCAGCCTGCATGAAGCTTTCCTCATCTCTGAGATACAGTGGGCAGCACCACTGGTGCTGGTCCCCTCCAGGGGCATAGCCCAAGCAGCCATGCCAAGGCAGCCCCATCCTCTTCGTCAGCTCTTCTAAGAGCCCCATGAAACGACCTGACCCGACCATTTAGGACTCGATCAGGAGAGGGGCCATTGTCATTCGATTTTTATATACCCGGTGATTCCGGAGAAGCGTGGGGAAGGGTGCAAAGGGAAAAAGGAGGTTATAATCTCATTGCTTCTGCAGTGGATTCAACAGAGCCCACCGTGGGAACCATGCTGTAAGCATTAGTAAGCCCTAAGGCAATGCCCCAGAGAAATCACCATAGACAGTATGTCATACCCATCAGCTAAAGACAGCTGGAGCACGTGTGTGGTCAAAGCCACGTTGCTAACTCACTGCAGCGAGCGTGGGGGTCTCGGGAAGAGCGTGGGCGGGGGGCTTGGTCTGGGGTTGGGGCTGTCTCCTTGGAAGACTCAGAGAAGGGAGGGTTCAGTCTAGACTGGGTGCAATTCAGTGGGTATCTGAATCACTTTCATTGACGATGCAGGAGGAACCGAGAGGGGCTCAAGTTATGATTAGGAAGGACACGGCTCTGTTCATTTCACCAGTGCCCTCGACTATGCTGCTGCTCCTGGAGGTGTCTGTGCTCAGCAGGACAGCCCCGCGGCACCCATGTTCAGGCCAGCTAGCAGGTGACAAACACAAAGACAAAGTCACCAGTACTAACGCCACACACCGTCTGAAAACCCACAGCAGTCACAGCTTTACAAACACTACAAATATTAAATCAGGATAGACTTAGCCAGAAGTATTTTTAGGTTCAAATTGCATCCCCCCCTACCAGGGAAATTCAAGATTTTTCTCAAATCAGTGTTAATTTATCAAGTCACCAAAAAATTTGTCACACAACTCTCCCTGTGCCCCTACCCTGCTATTCAGCTGAAATCCTGATACTGGTAAATGTATAAAAATGCACTCCAGTGAATTCTACTTCATTCTTAGATAGGGTCTTCATACCAAAGATCATCACCCTTTCTCACTTCTAGAAAATTTTCAGGTTTGTGACATGAGAAGGCCTGTGACTTACCTAAACAGCTGGAAGAGACACAAGTCTTCCCACCACCTAGGAGGGAAAGTTTTTGAGACGTTAGCACAGCTTCACATCAAAGCTGGACCCTCTGACGGCCGGGCCCACCCCAGGCTTCCAAGGCCAGCCTCAAGGATGCACATGGTCCACTCGGGGCATCAGACACGAATCCCTCTGAGCAGTTCCTTTCTGCTCCTCGACTGGCTCACAGGGCCCTCACTGTCCGCCTCTGCACACCCTCTACACCTTGCCCACCTCACCATCCCACTCAGCCTTTGGGGTCCAGGACTACCCGGCATTCTTGACTTTCCGAGTCTGCTGACTAGGTCGTTCCTTTTCCTGAGTGGTGCCTTAACTGAAACGGAGCAAGGCCCCACCTCGCTCACTCTGCTCAAGCCACACCCGCCCCTGCCCCTTAGGCCAAGCCCAACTCGCCCACTAGAATCTCAAAGTCACAAAAGAGACTCTGCCCCACGGCCACCCGCCTAGCACCTGAGCCAGCCTGGCGCATGCAGGCGCTGGGACATGTGTGTCCAGTGGCTGCGTCCTTCCTTGCTGACCGTTCAGGTGGACTGGTCCATTCTCCTACCACCTTGGGGGATCCCATGCGCCAACCCCAGGAGGCCGGCCTGGCCCAGGTCCTAAGAAAGCCCGAGCCCCCCACGTTTGGCTCCCACAGGGCTCGCTCCCGGCCCCCAAGGCCTCAGGGGCCCTTGGATGAGTGCCGCGTGCTCTACCACCTACAACCGGTTCCTGCCCAAGGACGGGCTCCAGGAGGCCCTCGTCTCTGTATCCGACAGCCCACCAGGCCTGGGCAGGGCAGGGACTCAGCACACACAAGGAGCGATTTGCTGAGCCACCCTCGCCTTGAGAACAAGCTCAGAAGCCACCAGGGAGGGCTGAGTGCAAGGACAGGAGCTCCGGCCATTGCCACCTCCAGCCTCTCCTTAACGGCGATGCCATTTCAACGCTGCACTTCCTCCCTGCTCAAAATCAAGGAATTGCTCTATCAGGGGGTACCAGCCTCTTTAAGAGGGGCGCCTGGGGATAAAAGGCCACCAACATTTAAATGCCACTCCTCAGAAGTCTCCAGATGTTCCATGACTGAGGAGCCAGGTACCCCGGGATATGCCACGAAGAGGTCACAGATCCCGCCTCCTCCAGGACAGTGGCCTTCCTAACGTCAGCACACACCTCTACTCCTTCAATAAATAACTTCGCGTCTCCTGGGCCAGACCCCGTCAAGGAGAGCGGGCAGGCACAGACAAGCCCCAGAGAGGCCTGGGCCTGCAGGAGCGTCCCAGCCCACAGGGAGAGACAGACAGGATCAGTGGGGAAGGGGTGAGGAGAACACGGGAGACAAGAACAGAAAACGTCCCCAAGGACACAGCTGGCTGGGTCTTCAGGCACCCACAGGTGGCTCACCTGGGAAGTGGGGACAGACACACAAAGGCGCAGGGGTGAAACCGAGATCGAGGTGAGGTCTGGTGTGGGCAAGGGTACCAGAGGGGCTACAAAGCAAGGGGGCCCTCGTCTGCCTCCACCCAGCCCCTCACTTTCAGCCCGCCCCAACCTCCTCCTCTGTCCCACTAGAAACAGGTTCCTCCACTGTTGTCTGAAAACAGAGCGGTACAGAGCAGCCTGGCCGGACCTCCACAGCTGGGAGGAAGGAAGAGGCTGGGCAGGCCGCCAACAGTGGGACAGGAGGGCAGAAACGCACAGGAGAGGCGCAGACCTTCAGCATGCGGGTGGGCACAGGGCAGCGCCAGGAGGAGACACCAGGAAAGGCCGGAGCAGGGCATGCTGGCAACACCAGTTTTTCAAGCAGGAGGGAGAAGGGCGTGGAGCAGCCTCAAGCAGGAGCCAGGGGCCTGGAGTCAACGAGAGGTGGGAGGACAGGCAGCCTCTGAGAACGTGCCCCTGCCCCCTGCACCACCATGCTCAGCGTCTGCAGGGCACCCGTGAAGGGACCCATCTCAAAACAGCTCCAAGGACAACCCCACCTCCTTTTAAAGAGCCTCCTGCCAGCCAAGATGAAGTAATGGCACTGGCACAATGTGTTCCCAGGTTTATCCGTCCTAGCCTCGATCCCTCCAATCACGCCAGAAATCTCTAATCGACTTTGGGGAGGAACGAAGGCTTTCGATGCATCCTTACTTCTCCCCATATGCAAGTTCCTGGACTTTCTTTCAGTCCCTGGCAATGGTTTTCTCACAGGACTGTCCCGAGTGCACCTTGCCACATGGCACAGCCTTTCCCCTGGCAAGCTGTGCATAAAACAACCCTACGCTGACCTGACCCTTCTGTAGGTATATGTATACCAGCTTCTCTTGCAGCAGGATGCACCTCAATGTTACTTTAAGATTCCTGTAAGGAGGACATTTGGCTATGATGTCTATGATGTCTATGAAGTCGCACAGGAAAGGGGGTTACTACTGGCATCTAGTGGGTAGAAACCAGACTTGCCACTGAATATCCTACAAGGCACAAGACCGCCCCCCACAACAAAGAACTGCCTGGCCCCAAATGTCGGTAGGGCCCAGG